TGGTTCAAATCCCCGGACCAAGTTGTCCGGGAACCCCACGGTCACCTCATACCGAAAACATTTCCATAACATTCGCGGCTAAGTACCGCTGAGTTGACCGGGGAACCACAAAGTCCTTGTGACAACATTAGTTTCATAGCAGTCGCAGCTAAGTACAGCTGACGACCATTGGTGGGTTTCTTCATCTGAACAGCCACCAAGGAGCTAGAGTTCGGTTCCATTTTGTGGGGATATTTATGGGATGATAATATTATACAGTTGAGAATTGCCCACTATTTCAATTCTCTTAGATCTTAGAGATCGTTATCATGTAAGTGAAATGTATTCCGTACAAATAAAATCGCAATTTATTATAAAAATAGATATAATTTATTGTGACAAATAAAATTATAATACTAGGCAGCATGCATGATAACAATCGGTGAATGTTTAGTATAACATGAGTATGCAACACAATGGCAATGTTAAAACAATCCAACGGCTAACAGCATCAACTATCACTTAGTAAGATTAATAAGGTACTTCACAGACACAGAAAGCTAAACTTCCAGCGAAAAGCCATAAAACCTTGGCTAACAGTTAGATCAAGTGAGTAACCCTTTCAATGCTGGTTAGTCCTTTTAGGCATAGAATATCCTATTCTATTGCTATTTTTAATTAAAATAACATTCAACCAGATCATTAATCAATTCCTGTACCATCCAAAAGAGTCAAATCTACAGATTCTGTAAGCCGAATTTTAATTTGCCTAAAAAGATATCTTATCTTATTTCAGAGCAAATCAACACACATGGATAAAAACAGTGGTATGCTCACACGTGGTAAGATACCAGTACTATGTAATTATCTGACTCCACCTGCAGAATTGAGTGTTATAACTACATATTCTTTATTTAACTAAGATTCCTCAATTATGGGATCTGATCGTGATTTATCCATGCATGTATCCTGCTATTAATAGATTTTAATTAATTTAGATTAATTAAATAAAACCAGCATAATTACAAGTTATGATGTAGATGCTCTCATCAGATGCTCTTAGGTAATCCCAGGAATTGAAGTGTGGTTATGTGTGTGCAAAGAGATAGTGAAATTAAGTGTTCTGTGTCCCTCTCCTCAGTCTGTTTGCATGAGGGTCTGTCTGTCTCAGGGGTCCTTCCATGTGTCTCGTCCCGAATCTGAATTTCAATCTGAAAGCCCAAACTAACTTCTGAATGTCCAATCTCTCCTTTGTTCTAACTTTTTTAAGGGAAAGCTTCTTTCTACGTCATCAGCTGGTAAAACCAATAGGATACTGAAGGTGTGGTCAACCTGCAGATCGCAGTTTAGATTTTTGGTCCATAGAGGGCACTCTCGCCTCACTGAACTTTCCTATCCAGGAAAGAGGTAACTTTTCCTGATGACAATTTTGATGTCATTTGGCTTATCTAAAATGACTGCCATAACTTAAATTTGCTGTCAGTTCAAAGCGTTTCTTTGGATTTTCTCCAGACAGCAAAACATTTCTTTGGATTTTCTCCAGACAGCACGTCGACAATTCCTGTTGTAATTTCTAAAATTGGCAGTTATAAACTCAATTTCACCCCTTACTTACAATGGGACCTTGTAAAATTTAGAAAGTAAAATGAATTACTGAGTCTTATCTGGTCATTGGTGTCTGGCTTTCTGAGAAGCTGTGAGACATTTTCTATTCCACTAATATTTATGAAATAATATGGTATGTCTTCATGAATATTTATCCATGAATGGTCTATATTATTAACATAATTCTGATTATATGTATTTAATATAATAGTAAATAAGTGTATAATGGTTATATATATACAAGTGTATATACTGTATATACTTGTCTCTGGACTTAGTAATCCATCCCCCATCCTTGCTGGGAGACTTTATTGCTTTGTTTACATAAAGCATTCCTAAGCTCAGCCTGGTTTGGCTAGTTACAGAAAGCAAAGAAATTTTGTGTCTGTCTTTGTAAGCCTGAATCCAAAATGGAGTCCGCTCTGTTCTGAGTGACTCTGGCAATATACACTTTTAATTTCTATCTTAGCACAAAATGTCTGCCAATATAAATATCCTGACATAACCCCCCTAAGTGATTCACATAGCAATGATTAATTTAGTATATGAATTAGCACTATAGAAGTTATTAGACATATTGTGCACTCACATCACTTCCTCTGGCATTAGTTTGTGCGTGTAATGAACATTTTTGCATATTTTTGTACCTGTAAGAGCGTTGAACTTTATACTTAGTACAATCAACCATAGTATCATTATTATCATTGTAAATAGTTTTCATTTGAAAATTGTGTAGAAAATAATTAGGCAATCCAATATATTATTAGTGGCACTAATCTCTAATTTACCTCACATTTAAGGGCCACTATAGTCACCAGAAGCACTACAGCTTCATGTAGTGGTTCTGGTGTCTATAGCCTGTGCCTGCAGGCTTTTTAATGTAAACACACTGCCTTTTCAGATAAAGACACTTTGTGCAGAACTGGTGTTGGCCCATATGGCAGAGCATATGGGTGGGGCATTGTGATGTCACGTGGTGGGCAAAACATATGGGGGGGCGGCAAAATTTTTGTTTGCATTGGTGGCAAAAATCCTTGCACTGGCCCTGGTGCCATGCTGCCATTGGACACCGTTTACCCACATGCTGCATGTGCTGATAGACGTCCTGTATGCCATGAACTGACATTAGGCGGCCCAGAACTCTAGGCTGGCTAAAAATGTCCTAATTATTCTGCAGGAGGTGGGATTATCCCTATGGCACAAAGGGGTTAAATGCGCATACAGACTAAGCATTACACCCACTTCAAATTACTGAACTGCTCATTGTTTTTGGAGTAACTTTTTTAAAGAAAGCATCATACTCATACATAAGCGTATCCATAAACCACCTGTGTTTACTATTATGGAGCCATAATTGATCCCATTCTTTCAATACAATCAAACAGGATTCCCAAGACTAACTAGCAAATGGGAAATATCACCTGGCTTAAATATAAAGATGAACTTGATTAGAGCTGTTGATAAAATATTACAGTTCTATCAATTTCAGCAACAGATCCAGTAATTTTTTTCTTGAATGAAATGGATGTGAGGGCCAAACAACATATTTTTATTGATATATGCTTAGCTATATGCAATCAGAAATTGGAGTCAAGTGCAGTCTAGAGAGTGCCTTTAATGTCACCTCTAATTTTTGTAAATGAAGGGACTCTGACTGAAAGTGACTGGTTTGATGTAACTAAATGTACCTGTTAGTATCTTTTACAAGGGTCTAGTCATTTACTGGGGCACTAGGTTACTTATTCGAGGCTTTTGCATTGATATATGAAAGGCAAGCCAGTCTTATATAGTTTAAGAAATTGTGACTACTGCAAATGTCAGAATTCTAACTTTCAGTAAATGTATACACCTTATTTCTCGTTCCCTTCAAAAGCCTGAATTTGAAACTGTTTAGTAAATATTTTATTGCTTTTCTTTAATACTGAAATGTTATTGGGAGATTAAAAAAAAATACAATAATGTGGCAAAATGTGGTAAAATTGATGATGTTATTAGATGAAATTCCACTGAGAAAAAAAAGCAATGATTTGTCCAAATATTACAACTGAATAATGGATGTTACTTAAAACGCAAACTGACAAGGAGACATGAATGAGCACAAATTGTTCAAGTTAAGAGAATTATTGTAAGCACACAATACATTGTGAAAAATGAAAAATAGCGATGCAGAGACAGAGCTAAATAAAAAAAAAATAGTTGTGCTGAACCCAAAACTTTCTGAATCCATACCTCTCAAGATATTATTATTTTTCGTATTATTATTTTATTTTTATTTTGAGAAACCACTATATTTCCATACAAAATGGAAAAATCTTGGGAATAAGAATACAGAACTTTCTGCCTCTAAGAGAAGAAAAGTCATGAAATGTTTTACAAACCAAGCTACTGTTCTTGATTATTTAACTGTCACTAAAGCCCTGCAAAATGAGTGCAAAGATATAGAAAGGTAATTATATTAATAAAAAACAAACCTAAAAACACTTCTTCCATATCCCCTTTTTTCATGTGTTACACATTTCTAATGTGGACTCCTTTTTGTTTTAGTCTTAGAGGTCACTTGAGTATTTTTTTATTTTTTTATGGTTTCCTCTATCCCTGGACAGAAGATGATTACATATGTAAATTTGTTGAAGTAGCTGGACATTGTAAAAATGTACCTATTAGTATTCCATTATCCAGGATTGAGGGTTGTGAGTGTTCTGCAGTTTCTCTTCCTTATTTTGCAGCTCTAACTTGCTGTCCTAAAATTCTTTGGTAGATATGGTTTCTTGAGGACTGATGCACACATAGTTTTTATTTATTTATTTATTTATTTTTCTTGGATTCTTCCTTTCGCTCACTGGGGTTTGAGGGAGAAAATATAAATTTTACAACTTGCATCTACTCCTATTTTTATTCTCTCAATCAATACCTTGATGGTACTGAACGTAAACCCCAAATTTCCCTCTCACTTGATAAACCTAGATGCAGTTGTGTGCTATTTGTTGATAAAAAGTTAAATTGGTACGCTTCTTATAGCAATTCTGCTCATGTTTCAACAAGCTTAAGCTTTTACTTTACAAATCTACAAATTCAGGGCAAATATGAAAGTTAATAATATGCATCACCCACATACCTCAAGATTGACGTTGGGAAGTCCCAGAAATAATTTTTCCACAACTATCACAGAATTCACAGGTCAACATGCAAATGAGCACAAACATTAGCCTACATTTTTGCAAGTACACTACAATGGAATGATGTTTTAATAAAACTTTTCCAAAACATTTAAAGGGTTACACTAACCCTGGTAACAAAAAAACAGCAATATTTTATATTATAATTGTCATATAGGGTATAACTACTAGGTCATATGGGGAATAATTATTAGGTCATAGGAAAGCTTGTGATTGGACCGATTTGCTGGCTCAGAGTTCATGCACGTCCTTTTGGCGTGCAAGAGGAGGGAGGTGAGAGTGGAGAGGAGAAAGGAAGTGCCCACAGGGTGGAAGGAAATGGTTGTGCGCACCAACTACTGTTGCAAAACAAATGTACAGAATTGACATTAGGCAGCCCAGAACAGAGTTTTGGGCTGCCTAAGTCAGGTGTGCTGGTGCAACTAACAACACAATTAACAAAATCTAAGTATAAGTAAATGTAAGTATGTGTAATGTTAAAAGAAAAATCTTATGTTGGTAAGCTAGTCTCAAACTAGGAACAATGACAAAATGCCCATTGCCTATCTCCCACTCACAGTTGTTGCAAGTGCCTGACAGTACTAGATAAGCTATCTGACACTGGCACAGGAAGGATAAAACACACAATATCACTGTTGGTGGTCACCCTGATTGCAATCAATGTGTTTAGAAGAATCCAGCTTGGAAGTATAGATTATTTTATTGCTCCTCTATTTTCCCTTCATTGGTCAGTTGTCATCTGATCTGCGAATACAATCAGCATTGAGTGGATTTCCCTCAACCCCACAACCATCAGTCATCTTTCCTATTTTATTTCTGCTACCACTTGGTAGGACCGGTTACCCAGCCCACATGATTGAACAGATCTCTTGTCCATCATTGTTCATCAAACTAAACTACTTATATGCCCCATCAATAAAAATACTCATTATATCCCCCTTTTTCTCTGAATCAAGTACTGAACTAAACATGTTTAGGCTGAGTGTGTGCTCAATATTTTCGAACACGTGGAGGACCAAATATCCGAATTTCTGCCAAATTGCAATTCGGTCAAAACTAATCTCAAAGTCTAGTTGTACATGAAACGTGAAGCTGTAGCATAGATTTGCAATTTGTGTTTTATAGTCTTAGCATTGGATACTAGCCGTGAAAGCCATAATGCCAAGCATTTGACTTGTGAGGCAGAATAGTATTACTATTAATATGTGTAATACACCTTTGAATCAAAGTTTGGGGATATTCTCCAATTGTGAGTTGTGTTTTCTTGTTGCAAACCTTGTCCTCTGATATTGTCTTGTGTTTTTAAAGGTTTTTATTGACAATATTTTTTTTTTGCTGTAACTTTACATTTAATATATATATAGATATGTGTAATTAGTAAAAATATTAGTAAAATTTTGTTTTAAATTGGAGTGTTCTTCTAACAAACCTCTGGTCCTGGTGAGGCCCATCAGATACTTACCAAAGCTCAGCAGTTTGCGTCAGAATTCCAAAACCAGAAATTATACAGTTAGATCCGGAAGTATTTGGACACAATTTTTATAATTTTGACTTTGTACACCACCACAATGGATTTGAAATGAAACAACCGAGTCCCTATTTCTCCATGATGTTCTCCAAATGCTGGGATTCCTCCTTTGTGATGCTTTGCCAGACCTTTATTGCAGTTGTCTTCAGTTGTTGTTTGTTTGTGGGTCTTTCTGCCTTAAGTTTTGTCTTCAGCAAGTGAAATGCATGCTCGATTAGGTTGAGACCAGGTGATTGACTCGGCCATTGCAGAATATTCCACTCCTTTGCCTTAAAAAAACATCTGGGTTGCGTTCAAAGTATGTTTTGAGTCATTGTCCATCTGTAATGTAAAAGTGCCATCCAATTTGGCTGAATCTGAGCAGTCAATATACCCCTATACACTTCAAAATTCAATCAGCTGCTTCTGTCTTCTGTCACATCATCAATAAACACTAGTGAAGCCACTGAAAGCCATGCATGCCCATGCTATCATGTTGCCTTCATTGTGTTTTACAGATCAGGTAGTATGCTTCGGATTATCCGCCACTGTTGCTTTCCATAAATATCTAAGTCTTTTTGTGTTGCAGAACTCATCAGTGCATTCTTTTTTACTCAGAATGTACCAAACTGTGGATTTAGCCACTCCTAATGTTCCTGTTATCTCCTGCTCCTTTGACCGCATGTTGTGGGTTCACAGCAACAACTTCCAAATGTGAATGCCACACCTGGAATCAACTCCAGACCTTTTGCCTGCTTAATTGATGAATAAATAACAAAGGAATAGCCCACACCTGTCCATGAAACCGCTTTTAAGTCAATTGTCCAATTACTTTTGGTCCCTTGATAAAAAAGAGGGATACATACTAAAGAGCTGTAATTCCTAAACCCTTCCTCCAATCTGGATGTGAATACCCTCAAATTAAAGCTGAGAGACTGCACTTTAAGCCCATATGCATTATTTAACTGTAACTTGAATTTAGTTTGGTAAACAGCTGAAATAACTTGTGTCAGTGTCCAAATATTTCCAGCCCCATATTATCCATTATCTCAATTTTATCTCAGGTAGAGACACATTCAGCCTAAACCTTTTTATTCGCTTCTATATCCTGTTAATTGATTTTGAAAATATATATAATAAAAAAAAATACAAAATACAAAAATTATAATTTGAGAATGCTTTGGCCTTCCAGTGCCACCAGCTGGCCAATATTAAAACACATAAAACATATACACATCTGACCATTTGTATTATTATGATTATTTATAGGTCTTTTTTGACTATTGATATTACTTCTGTTTCTGCCCAAAGCTGTGAGCTGACAGCACATTTCTAACCTGAGACTGTGATAAGCATTCTGCTTTTATCAATTTGCACATTAATGCCAGTTCCCCTTGGTTTACATGCATTGACACATGACATCTATAATGGTTTTAACATGTTTTAATTATATAAAATATGAAAAGTGAATTTCATGTAACAATAACATAATGACATTATTATCGGCTGCAAGTAAACCTCATTAAAGTATTAAAAGCATGAGGTCATTTTGCACTTCTATGTGTCTTGTAGGGCCTTAAGAATTCCTAGTGGTTTTCATGGTTTTGATTCATGTGATGAATATCTAGCTCAAAAACATTTTTTTTTAAATGCATAGATTGCTATTTGGGGATGTCTATAACTTTTAAAATTGCATACACATTGAGTAAACAAGTAATTTGCCCGTAGCCTGACAACATTCAGGGTGCTAAAACAGTGCATGATACCTGTCCTCTGTGGTGACGTACAATCACAGAAATTATGTCTCTTCTGTGTTCTGCTGCATACCCACACATTCCTTGCTTTCTGGTGCCTCATTATGACATCATATATGACATGGAACCCTTCCATTGGTCTTCTTTTATAATGTCTAGCATATACAAGTCTTTGTGGCATTTTCTGATGACATATACACCTTGTAACATCATGGTCCTATTGAAACCAATTACAACCCAGTATAGGGTATACATATACAACTTGGTGGTCCTTGTTTCCTTGCCCTATCTTGGGTCTTGTTACCTGAAAGTGTGCTTACACTGTGTATTTGATGTGCTTTTTTTCTGACCTCGGCTTGTTTGACTATTCTTGCTCTCTGTTATGCTGACATTGGCCTGACTATCAACTGTGTATTTTGTGTTATGCTAGACCCTGGCTTGTCTCTCCTTTATTCTCTGTCTGCTTGCTGACATTTTATTTATCTGTCTCAGGCATTAGCTAGCCCACTCTAAGGACCTGTATGTATTTCTTTACTGATTTCATTAGGTTTGCGCGTTAGGGTATCCATTCCTGATAAACTGTAACTCCTAATCATAGCCAGAAAAAGTAAATCTGATACTCTGGTTACCATGAGCCTAAATATTACATTTTATTCCCATCTTCATTTATTCTTTTTTCTAACTCTGAGACACTAACCCATGAACCTGACTCTTAAAGGTTATATCCCATGTGCTTATGTACCTATAGTTAGCTGAGTGTCCATGTTCCATCTGTTTTTGGTGACTCTAAACTCTATCTTTGTCTTCATCGTAATGAATATACGGTCATGTTGAAGCTAGAGTTGCCAGTCCTGGCCCTCCTGTTGTTCTCCATGGGAATGGTTATAAGCGTATATAAGCCTGCATAGGTTTATAAATGCATATTACATATTTTTAATTTTATACATGATGACTGTTACAGAACCTACAGTATTGCCTGGAAACCTCAGCCCAACGGGGTACCCAAAACCTTTTCTTTACAGTCCTTAATATTGCTTCCTATCACTGAGAACAAAGACTGTTTGTGCATTTGCATTCCCCAAAGTGACTAATCGTGCATTTGGCCCTCACTGTTCGAATACCGAATATTTTGTCGAACGACCGACCACCCAGAGCAGAAGTGTGCCAGCAACTAACCCTCTTGACTTGTAAAAACCTCAAACACCTCAACGTTCCAATGGATTAACAGGGTGGTTAGCGTCCGTCTGTGCGAACACGTGGCAGCGTCCATTTTGTTTAGTCGAACGCACTCAGCGGTGTTTGGTTGTCGACAGCGTGGAACTATTTTTGGCTACCTTTTTCCACAAACACCGCTGAACTTCTACCTTCTGTGCGTTCAACTAGACTCATACAAACAAGGCGCTAATTCGTGAGTTTATTCATCCGAACAATCTGCATCCAGTGATAGCAGGCATGAACAGTTCCGTTCGTGAATTTTATACTTATTACAAAGGGAGAATAGACTGTTCGAAGAGACTGAAATTGTGGAACTATTTTGGGCAGAAAAATGTGCGAGCGGTCGGTCACATCCACCTTTTCACTAACACCCGAACCACTGGTCCAATTCATGCCATTTTTGGATATGTTGTTTCCCTGAATGTATGGGTTATTAAAATGTAACTTTTATTAAGATCCTATGCATAGTTTTAACGTTATGGAAAATGCAGAAAAGTATATTTTTTTAGCTTGGAGATAATGGAGCTGATATAACGATTAACTCAATTATCTCCTAAGCAGAGGGGAGGAATGTATTGTAATTAATAAGTGTGCTTTTACTGTACAATTGTAACTGATTGGCTGCTGTATTTCATTTGTCAGTGCCCCACAAGGTCCACGTGGGTGGTAACCTTACTGTAAAACCTGCATAAAAGCAGCTGCTTGTGTGGTCATTAAATCAGTTCTGCTTAACCCTTCAAAATGTAGCCTCGTCTCATTATTGAAAGGGAACTGCTCAGCATAATCACTAGCTCTATTAAGAGCTCTGCTTTACTCTCTACTCTGATCCAGCGGATGGGATAGCGCATCTCCACTACAGCACAGCATCTTGCCAGGAAGAAGGACGTCTCCAACGGCTGATACCCCTCTACAACCTGGGTAGCCGTTACAATGACATTTACTCCAGATAACTAAGACTCCTAGATATTTCAACTAGATTGTACAATGGATTTTAGACTGATGTCCTCAAACCCAGAGTCAGGAAGATATTTTTTCTCTATGTCTCCAGTCTACTGGTATCATGATTTTACTACATTCATATGATGGTTTGCAAATTATTTTTTATATACTGTGATTTACATTGTAGTGTGATGTAGGGGCATTCAGTATTCATGTAGTATCAATATCATCAGTTACAATATCATGTGTATATCTATAGGACACAATAGAGGGATTGGACAATACACAATCAATACACAATGGTAAATGTACGATTGTTAATCCTTTACAGAAAAATGCTTGCAATTGACATGGCATGGACATTATGAGTCAAAAGATATATGTTTTAAAAATTTTATGGTATTAACTGCACTTGCCCTTAGTCTTCTGAAGTACAGAGGAATAATGTGCCAAGCAAAACCATGAATTGTTGGATATTAAATCTTAATAGCAAAACTGGAACTAAAATATCTGTGACTGTAACAGAGCTGGATATTTTTCAGAATACCTATTTAAGCCTAAATTTTACTATTCTGATTTAATTCTGTAAATTCTTATTAAGCAACAATGTAAGTGATTAACCAAGACAAACACATTGGTATTTTTGTTATTAATAAATGTGTCTTTGGTCATCCAAACAATATAATCTTTCTCTTAGGTCACATATTTCACACATATACAAACTGTTCTACAATGTATTAGCATTACTTTTTTTTCATTTTTTTTTTTTTCTTTTCATTTTCAATTATGATGAATTGAATTTTGGCACTTAACAAATGCTCATCGTGTCCTAGAGTAATTAAGTCCAAATGTACTATATATTGATTAGATAAAAATAGGATTTTAAAATAGATTATTTAAGGTAATTTTCAGGTGACAAAACTGCCTTAAGCTCTCCTTACAAAAATCTAATTGAATGAAATTCCTCTGCATATTCCATTTGAACAATCTGTCGATGTAATTACTTTGCAGATATGTTTTAATGAGTATATTTAAATTGAGAATACCTATATCTGTTACATAAAACAGTCAGTCCTTTTCAAGAATATTTAATTTACAGATTCTTAGGGCTGTAGTCTATTAAATGTATTAAATGAGATCAATGTATCTGCTTTTTTTAATCTCACATTTGTCTAATGTATTTTTGGAACAATAGAATTGGTTATCTGTATTTGATACTGGTGCATAAGAAATATAATCCATCTTTTGGTATGTTAAAATAAAATGATAATACATTTAAAATACATTTACATTTTTAAGCCTGTGGTTTGAGGGTACATGGATTTTCAAAATGAACATCTACAATCTTATCATCAAATAAATGTTAAACTTGAGGTTTTTAATTTTTAAACCTTGCATGTTATAGCATGGACTGTTTCTGTTTCATTTAGATAAAAGCTAGCAAGGATGATGTAAATGTAGAGCATTTGGACAAAGAGCCTGAAGAGATTTATGTAGACATGGTGCCATATGCTGATGGTAAGTTATCCGATTTTCAGATTTTTGGTACTTTTATTAAAGTAAAATTTTTTGGCATATATTATTTCGATTTTTTTATTTTAAATTATTTTTTTTAATTTATCATTTAGAATATATTTTCAACACTGCAAAATGTAAAAGCAGTTGTATAAAAATCAATACAGAAATAAGCGTAATCAGTAAAGTTTAGAAAGAAAAATGTTTGCATGTGCAGGCAATATAAAGGTGACAAGACTAAAAGACCAAATACATTTAAGAGAATATACTTTCTCAATTAAACTTCAAGAACTATTCTTCGTCAGTTTCAGAAGACTGCAACTGAAAGTAGGTTAGAATGATATCACTATAGTTCGGATAAGAGGTTCAATAAAAAGGAAAAAGAAAATATTCACTAACAAAGTACTCCACCGCCTATCTTAGCACAGAAGGAGTGATGCTTCTAACATCCCATTTATGTGAGTGCATTGGTTTAGAGGCAACTGAAGCCCAATGCTTACAGAAGTAAATTGGAGGTGTTGGCCTTCATGATAAGTGACCTGGGGATCTGCATCTATATGGAATTTTTGAATCTCTCAGGAGTTTAACAGTAGACAATGATTTCTGTCAATTGAATGAGTTCTGGTAGAAGGAGAGGCTATAGAGATCAAACTAGAGAGGAGTTTTCGCTTTCACCACAAACAAAAACAAATGGGAACATCCCGTTGAGCAACACCAGATAGTCTAAGAGACTTGGGAAGAAGTATGTCCTTCCAAAGATAAGTGATTTGCCTCCTTACCATACAACAATGTCATAAAAGCCATCTAAATAGTTGTGGGAATTCCCCAATATCCACTCTGGCAGCTGTGACAACTGTGCCTGTGCCTCTGACTTTAATTGATGCCTCATCTAAGGTGTCCACATCTTTTATTTGAGTATCCATGTTAGTTTGTTTACTTTTAATGTCCAGAGTAATTTCCTCCACAGAGTTAAAGTCCTAAAAAAGTCAAATATGCTGTTAAAGTGCCCAAATGTATATCCTAGGGTGTTATATTAACATATAACACTCTCCTGACAGGCCCTTCAACTCTCCTCACTATCGGCAGGCAAAATGTTAAAAGTACAGAAATGGTCAATCCTTGTCATGCTGGCACCTACAGCAAACTATGACTTTACATACCTCCTCTTTATGTATCTTCTCTATATTTTGCTGCACGTACCTGTAGGTATGTTGTGCATAAAGACACATACTGAAAAAAAGCAAACATTCTCACTTTAAAAATCACAAATATATTAATACTTGTCTATTAAACCCCCTCATCATTGATTTTGTTCTATGGGATAATCGTCTATCTTTTTCCACTGTGAGATTTTAATAGTCAAATGCCAAAATAAGAACAATGTATCACCTCCTAAAATGTCTTAGATAGTGATGTACCGAACGGTTCGCCGGCGAACGGTTCCTGGCGAACATAGCATGTTCGCGTTCGCCACGGCGGGCGAACATATGCGCGGTTCGACCCGCCCCCTATTCGTCATCATTGAGTAAACTTTGACCCTGTACCTCACAGTCAGCAGACACATTCCAGCCAATTAGCAGCACAGCCTCCCTAGCAGACCCTCCCACCTACTGGACAGCATCCATTTTAGATTCATTCTCAAGCTGCATGCTTAGTAAGAGGAGGGAAAGTGTAGCTGCTGTTCATAAGATAGGGAAAAGCATAGCTAGGTTAGGGATAAGGGTATGCTTTTTTTTTATTTTTTTTTTCTATGTAATGTAAATGCACTTAGTTGTCTGCCACTGCTGCCAGCTTCTGTGTCAGGCTCACAGTGCCCATTTCCCCAGTCAGTGCCACCACTTACATCTGGTGTCACAATAGCTTGGATTTAAAAACAAAAAACTTTTTTCACTGTTATAGATTGAATAGTAGTCAGTTGTCTGCCACTGCTGCCAGCTTCTGTGTCAGGCTCACAGTGCATACTGCGCCCATTTCCTCAGTCAGTGCCACCACTTACATCTGGTGTCACAATAGCTTGGATTTAAAAACAAAAAACTTTTTTCACTGTTATAGATTGAATAGCAGTCAGTGTCCTTAAAGCGGGTGTGTTACGCTAACAGTGGATACGCTGACCAGTGCCACTAATTAGATCTGGTGTCACAATAGCTTGGATTTAAAAAATAATAATCTTTTTTCACTGTTATAGATTGAATAGCAGTCAGTGTCCTTAAAGCGGGTGTGTTACGCTAACAGTGGATACGCTGACAAGTGCCACTAATTAGATCCTGTGTCACAATAGCTTGGATTTAAAAACAAAAAACTTTTTTTACTGTTATAGATTGGAGGAGGGCAGCAGTTAGTTATCTTCAGCGGGTGTCAGGCCTACAGCCTGTACTCTCTGCACACACACAACTGTGCCAGTGCACATTACCACTATATCTGGTCTCACAGTAGCTTGCACGCATAGTACCACTAATCCCAACAAAATGACAGGCAGAGGCAGGCCACCCACTTGGGGGCTCATAAAATGGTCATTAGTTGCTGTGATTCCCTTCGGCCCTAGAATAATGCCCAGTTTTCAGAGGCCACGTACCCTGAACTTGAAAAGTTCTGAGGACATAGTTGACTGGCTAACACAGGACACCCAATCTTCTACAGCCTCCGCTCAGAACCTTGACGCACCATCCTCCTCCAGCTTAGCTTCAGGCACCTTTCAAGATACCACTCACCCGCCTGCCGCCACCACCAAAACTAGCACCACAGCCGCTTCGGTTGGTATGTCAGAGGAGTTATTCACACATCCGTTTGAAGAAATGAGTGATGCGCAACCATTATTGCCAGAGGATGTAGATAACAGGGATATGTCTCAGGCAGGCAGCATTACACACATGGACGTACGGTGTGATGATGATGATGATGTTGCACCCGCTGCTGCTTCCTTTGCTGAGTTGTCAGATACAAGTGAAGCGGTTGATGATGACGATGCGTCCATGGATGTCACGTGGGTGCCCGCTCGTCAAGAAGAAGAAGAACAGGGCGAAAGTTCAGATGGGGAGACAGGGAGGAGGAGGAGACGAGTTGGAAGCAGGGGGAGGTCGTCGCAAGGAGCTAGTGGCACAGTCAGACAGCATGCATCGGCACCCGGGGTCAGCCCGACAGCGCGCCAATCAACGCATGCTGTGTCCACCACCAGAATGCCGTCATTGCAGAGCTCAGCAGTGTGGAATTTTTTTTGTGTGTCTGCCTCTGACAGCAGCGATGCCATTTGCAACCTGTGCCAAAAGAAACTGAGTCGTGGGAAGTCCAACACCCACCTAGGTACAACTGCTTTGCGTAGGCACATGATCTCACATCACAAACGCCTATGGGATCAGCACATGAGTACAAGCAGCTCGCCTACTCTAAGCCGCCAGCCTCCTCCTGGTCCAGCATCTTCAGCCACGTCAGCCACTGCTGTCCTCCTTGTCCCCTCTCAACCATCCGCCACTCCGCCTCCCGCCTTGAGCAGTTCACGCTCATCTTCCATAACCTCCTCGGGCTGGGTCCTGTTCTGCTGCTGCTGTGTATTGCTCCCATTAAAGGTTGGTAACAGTGATTAAACTGATAACAATAGTACTAAACACCACTCTCACTCACTGGTGTCACAATAGCTTGGATTTAAAAACAAGAATTTTTCCCTGTTATAGATTGAATAGCAGTTGGTTATCTTCAAACTGGTGTGTCGGCCCTACTGGCGTGTGCTCTGCCAGTCTGCCACCTCCTCTACTCCTCCTACTCCATCCTCTTCCACTGTACCTCCTCGGCTTAGTCCTCTTCTGCTGCTGCGTCTTGCTCCACATCAATGGATGGTAACAGTGATTAAACTGATAACAATAGTACTAAACACACCACTCCTATCTGGTGGCACATTAGATTGCACGCGCAGTGCCCCAAATTTGTTGTGATCTGTGGGTAAGGTAAACGGTTGTCCATACAAGTAGGTTGCAGCTTTTTGAGGGCCCACACCACCGCTATGCACTCCTTTTCAATGGCAGTGAATATACTTCGCTGTGCAAAAGTTTACGGCTTAGATAAGCCCGGGTTGCTAGCCACCATCTGCTCCGACTTGGCTCAATACTGCTCCCAATCCAAGCATAGAAGCGTCTGTATGGACGAGAAAGTGTTTAGTTGGATCAGGAGAAGAAAGTACAGGTGATTTAAGGAGCGCCGTCTTGAGCTGTTGGAAGGCCTGTTCACATTCTGGGGCCCATACTGCTATCTTGGGGAGGTTTTTACACGTTCCTATATGGCACTTACTGGGCTTTAGGGTCAGTCCGGACTCCCTAATCCGGTCTATTACGGCTCCTATGTGGGTCAGGTGTTCGGGCCAGGAGCTGCTAAAAATGTCTATACCATCCAAGTAGGTGTGTATCAGTGTGTATCAGGGATCCTTAGGACAGGTGTCAATCCATATCACCTTAGTGACCCTATGTTGGGGAGTAACATTCCCTATTCTGATCTGTGTCAGTGTGTATCATGGATCCTTAGGACCAGGTGTCAATCCATATCTATAAAGTGACCTATGTTGAATTAACATTCCTAATTCTGATCTGTGTCAGTGTGTATCCAGGGCTCTGAGGACGGGTGTCAATCCATATCTGCCATGTGACCCTATGTAGGAGGAACAGTCCCTATTCTACTCTGTGTCAGTGTGTATCAGGGATCCCTAGGACAGGTGTCAATCCATATCTGCCAGAGTGACCCTATGTAAAAGGCCTGATGAGATGAGCTGCCTTGGGCTAAAAATGGTCCACACGCTGCTGTATTTTTAGCTCTGAATGCCGCTTGACTTGCGTGACTTATCCGCCACCAACTAGGGTTCAAGCCGCCAGTGTGTACTTTATAAATGGCTTTATAAAGCGGTGTGTACTTTATAAATGGCTCCACCTGCCACCCGTACAGCAACACAGTCTCCAGTTAGGAGGACCAACCAAGCATCTTCTTCCATCTGCCTGTTACAGAAATTACTGCGTGTACACGACCACTGATAGGAGACGCAGAAGGTATTAAACTGATAAAAATAGTACTAAACACACCACTCCTATCTGGTGTCACATTAGCTTGACCGCGCAGTGCCCCAAATTTGCAGTAAGGGGACCGACCAAGCCTCTTCTTCCATCTCCCTGTTACAAAAATCAATGCCGTGTACACGTCCACTGATAGGAGACGCGGAAGGTATTAAACTGATAAAAATAGTACTAAACACACCACTCCTATCTGGTGTCACATTAGCTTGACGCGCGGTCCCCCAAATTTGCAGAAAAGGGACCGACCAAGCCTCTTCTTCCATCTCCCTGTTACAAAAATCAATGCCGTGTACACGTCCACTGATAGGAGACGCGGAAGGTATTAAACTGATCAGAACAATACTAAACACACCACTCCTATCTGGTGTCACATTAACTTGACAGCGCAGTGCCCCAAATTTGCAGTAAGAGGACCGACCAAGCCTCTTCTTCCATCTCCCTGTTACAAAAATCAATGCCGTGTACACGACCACTGATAGGAGACGCGGAAGGTATTAAACTGATAAAAATAGTACTAAACACACCACTCCTATCTGGTGTCACATTAACTTGACAGCGCAGTGCCCCAAATTTGCAGTAAGAGGACCGACCAAGCCTCTTCTTCCATCTCCCTATTACAAAAATCAATGCCGTGTACACGTCCACTGATAGGAGACGCGGAAGGTATTAAACTGATAAATTAAACTGATAAAAATAGTACTAAACACACCACTCCTATCTGGTGTCACATTAGCTTGACCGCGCAGTGCCCCAAATTTGCAGTAAGAGGACCGACCAAGCCTCTTCTTCCATCTCCCTGTTACAAAAATCAATGCCGTGTACACGACCACTGATAGGAGACGCGAAGGTATTAAACTGATCAGAACAATACTAAACACACCACTCCTTTTTTTTTGGTGAGGCTTTACAGGACAGAGTGCTTCTCCACGGGACATGTTAACTCACAGGCAGTTGGCTCATCAAGGAACCAGAGCAGCTTTCCATGTACAGGTAAGACACGTGCAGCCGGTAAGGGTTCAGGCTCTTCTTCCTGGAGGATACGCTGCAAGCCTGTTGAACGAGGTGACCTTGCTCGGGTCCCAGGTGTGCGGTTCCTAAAATGGCTGCCATATAATTCCCATCAGATATTAGAGATTGAAGGGTATTAAACTGATCAGAACAGTACTAAACACACCACTCCTATCTGGTGGCACATTAGCTTGACCGCGCAGTGCCCCAAATTTGAATTAAGAGGACCGACCAAGCATCTTCTTCCATCTCTCTGTTACAGAAATCACTGCCATATCCATACAAATTGTACAGAATGTCCAGGATAGTTTTCCAGGGACAAATGTTGTCGCCTGTTGAACGAGGTGACCTTGCTCGGGTCCCAGGTGTACGGTTCCAAAAATGGCTGCCATATACACGTCCACTGATAGGAGACGCGGAAGGTATTAAACTGATCAGAACAATACTAAACACACCACAAATAAGGTTTCTCTCCTGTATGGCTCCTCAAATGATGCTTAAGATTAGAAGCGGCTGAAAAGCATTTCTCACACTCAACAAAAATATATTTTTTTAACATTCTCTCCACTTTGAACGAAATGACGTTTGGGAAGAGATTAACATAATTAAACACAGGCAGTAAAAATACAGTTTTTAGCCATACACTGTAACTTTAAAACCACACATCCCATCTTCATAATTACATATTTGGAATCAGCACACTTAAAACATAAACATAACCAAAAATCAGCCAAATCCATCCAGGGGTTAAAAAGTTAGCTTGAGGTCCCTTTATGACCGACCGCAAGCACATTTTCCTGCCCAAAACCGTTCCATAGATTTGGGCTGTGAGGTTGGTCTATTTCAGGTTGAAAAAACGACTAAGTCCCATCGCCGAATTGGACTTAGTCTCTGCAGCTGAAATAAAGGCTGAAAAAACGGGTGCTGAAAAGACCACGGCCCCCACCGGCTGGTCGGCCCCTTAGCCGGAAATAATTTCCCATTTACTGAACCAAGTGGGAAATAGCAAGGCAGGCACAAAGGGTTTGCACCCACAGGCTCCAGTATCACAGGGGACACCGCCTTAAAGGGGTCAACAAGTCTGGGGACACTGTCTTAAAGGGGCAGTGTCCCAATCTTCCTGATGTCCCAAAAAGGTGCTTAAAGGGCCAGCACCAGTCACATAAAGAGTCCATAAGCCCCAATATGCCCACCGACAGTCTTAAAGGGCCATACACACCAAATAAAAGTGCATACATTTTCACAATCTCCCAGGGGTCATAGTCATGCGGGAGGAGGCTGGCAAATAGGCTTCTCCACAACCCAGGGAAGCAGGGCAATTTTCAATTTAAAGGGTCCGTTACAAATAGCAGTTTGTGGTCAATCCATATCTGCCAAGTGACCCTATGTAGGGGACCAGTCTCTATTCTGCTCTGTGTCCGTGTGCATCAGGGGCTCTGAGGACAGGTGTCAATCCATATGTCAAGGTGTCAATATGTCATATGTCAGGTGTCAATCCATATTCATTGTGATTTAGGAATGTTAGGTGATTTCTGCCCTTTATGGATTAAAACCAGACTCTGTATCAACTGTGTAATTTTCCATGGGAGTTTTGCCATGGATCCCCCTCCGGCATGCCACAGTCCAGGTGTTAGTCCCCTTGAAACAACTTTTCCATCCCTATTGTGGCCAGAAAGAGTCCCTGTGTGTTTTTAAAATTCGCCTCCCCATTGAAGTCAATGGCGTTTCGGGCGGTTCGCCGGTTCGCGAACATTTGCGGAAGTTCGCGTTCGCCGTTCGCGAACCGAAAATTTCGGGTTCGCGACATCACTAGTCTTAGAGTTGGAGGGTGCATTATAGAGAAAGAGCAAGGTAGATACATGTAGATTGGTATAGGTGTATTAGTCAAGATCTGAATAAGACATGAAACTCTTAAAAGACAGTTTTCTAATATATTTTGTTAGTCCAATAAAATATAAATTATTGCAGTATCCAGTGATTTCTCGCTGTCTATGTTTCTCTATGTTTCCTAAATATTTTGATAAAATCCATTGCTCTATCTATCTATCTATCTATCTGTCTATCTATCTATCCTAAATTATTATGCATTACAGTGACACAAACCAATCACAGGATTCCTAGCTCTATTTAACCACCCCCAGACTGGTAAGTTTTGTGTTGTAGTGGTTTCCATTGTGATAATCCTAACAACCTGGAAGCGCCTCTAGAGGCTGTCTGGTAACCCTGTAATATATTTATTGCAGTTTTTCAATAACTGCAATAATTGCAATTAAACGGTTAAAGTGTCAGGTACTGTACCCAAACCCCTTCAATGAGCTGAAGTGGCCTGGGTGCCTCCCTTTAAGCTCTTTGTGTTCGGCCTGGAATAACCATGACACAATACACAGCATACATCAATGTACAGGCTGCTAAATAAGCAAATACATTTAATTTATACATTGGAATATAATGTCTAATAGTCTATTTAAGTTGCATCTTGCCATAAATATTCACAACCTTCTCACACAGGGGAAGGTTGTGACCATGGATCAAAGGAGAGTACATTTGATGAAAGAGAAGAAATTTCACACAATGAAACTGTAGAGGAAAATGATAACGTGTATCCACAGAATGAAGACTCCAGTGAAAACCTGCAATTAACAGGAAATGCTAAGAGCCCTGAAGACATTTTAGAAGGTATTTTTTATGATATATTAAGTATATTTGTTTCATAAATTAAACTTTGTTAAAATTTTGAAAGTCATATAAACTATAGATAATAACATGATAGGATACTACATTAAATATTGAATTTACTTGTAGGTCAACCTAAAATAAATGGTTCCAGGTTCTTAGTATCTCTGGACTAGAACTTTGGGCAAACCTCATCAATTAAATGTGAAATGTCATGTGATTTTGCATTTGTACCTTGAGACTTAAAGCAGAATATTTGATTTGTCTGTTTGTTTTCTACCTAGTATAAAAGGGACATTCTATAACTACTACAGCTGGTTATGGTAAAATGATTGTTATCAGTTTCCCTTGAGTGAAAGACATGTTATAAACAAACCAAAAAAAAGTGTTGTGCTCAAAATAGATAAATGCTTATCAGATATCTTTGCAAAACAATCTGTAAAAAAATAACACAAAAAAATAATGATATATAGGAAGGCTGAGCCTTTAAACAAAGCCTAAAGTTATGGGAAGGGTTACAAGGTCTATAAAACACAGGCTTCCCCTTCATCTGAGCTGAGACTGCCTGGTTCAGTACAGAACCATCTACTTCTGGTTCAAAGGTCATCAACACAAACTACACAAACTCCAAACAAGCTGGTCTTGGCCTTGTGCAACCTACGTAAATATTCACTTTGCCTAACTCGAGTAAAGAGCAGCCACCTTACTCAAAGCTCTCATACATCCGCTAATTCTCATACTGGCCAGTCCGCTACTCATGAATCTCAATTAGCTCTTTTGGACTTCTTCTCCTATACCTTGACACATGGTCCTCAGGCCTTTACTACAAATGCTTCATTTGGCCCTTGGTGGTCTTACCACTACAACTTATGTTTGCCTTCCTGCTGCTTGGGGGTTATATGTTGACCTATTATACTATATTTAAGTACATCACTTGGTGTACAAATAAAAATACAAATAATAAATAAATATTAAAAAAAATAGATACAAATGCAGAAAGATAAGTACTGCGCTGACTCCCATCACTGGGCGGCACCAACGACAACAGTACACATCAGCCCCAATATATAGTAAAAACCAAAGAAAACAAGTTACCTCCCTATGTATTTTTATACAAATGGAGGTTTTTTAGTTACCTCCAGTGGCCATGAGAGGATAAGCTCACCTCCCAACATCAAGGCAGACCCCCTCAGGTGGGTCCTAGCTCTAATCATTCACCTTGCTTCCTTGAGCTTCTGGCAAAAATCCCTAATGAGAAAGAAAGGGGTATTCTTTATATACACCCCTATATATTATTAACTCATAATAGGGAACACATGTGATGGGCAGCTGCATTGTAACAAGGCTGAGTGATACTAAAAATGGATACAAATGCAGAAAGATAAGTCCTGCGCTTCTGGCAAAAGATCTCTAATGAGGAAAGATCTCTAATGAGACATAAATAAAATAGATTTTACAACAAGTAGACCAGATCGAACTACAGAGCATCACAACTGTCCATTTCACAACTCCTACAACCTTGGTACGAATAACCTGCATTTATATACATCTCATGCATTTATATACATCTCATGCAGCCTATTATCCACCCGGGAGTTCAAGATATATATTTGTCACATCAGCCTCCCACTGCAATACCTCTTCATGCAGCCCTCACAACATATGTTACACACGGCCCTCTATGGGCATTCAACTGTGACACAATTTTGATCCCTCATTTGGGCAATTACATAAGACATAAGAATTAAATATAGTAATCTTGGCCTTCCACTGCAGTACCCCTACAGGCGGCCCTCACTCCATACGTTACATATGGCCCTCCATGGGCAATCTACTATGACACAATTTCGGCCCCTCATTTTGGGCAATTACATACGACATTTCTTTCTTTACAAGGGTCTACTACAATCCTGTAATACTGTGCTTGGCTATTCTGCTCGGCCTTGTTAGAGAGGGTCACACAATTCCTTTCTATATGACCCTCTCTCTGCACTCTTGAGAACTTAAAACCCCTCATTACACATTTAACCATATTCAGGCCTCTTTGGTCTGTCACCGTTTTACTGAAGCCTCATATAATCCACAACTCCTGTCACAAGCACTTATTTGATCTCCTATTTTGCTTCCTCCTAATAAACTAAGGATATTAAAAATGTTTTCATACTTCAGGTTCTTGTGGAAAGACACACAGTTGGAACTCTTAATTTGATGCATTACTACTAGGTATCTCTCTTTGATATCCATATTGATTGGCCTAGGCTTATGCTCATAATCATAAGTCACATTATTATCTAAGTTTCTACTAAGCCTATTTATCATCCTGTTGTTGATGTTTTAATCTATAACCCCAACAGGTATATTATACCCTTATCTCAATTACCATTTACATCACCCTGGACATATTCCCATTAGCATTCTCATTGTGTCTTAAGGTTTCTCTCTATGATATTCCTTTTTCAAGCTCAACCACACACTAGTTGGGCAAAATACATATGTTCCAACACACTTCCCATCAATTCATTATGTTTCTATTCCTCTACATTCTTTAGGGATATAGGGGTATTGTTGCTAACCATATTCTAGGACAACTCCCATCCTCACGTGGAGGTATTAGTCAGTCGGCCCAACTCATATCAAGAGCCTCGCTCCAACCTCTCCAGGTTTAAGATAGACCTGTCATGGCCACTCATTTGAATCTCTTACTTGTGACCAAGAGGCCAACATCCTCATTACTTTGTTTGGTGTCCTCAGTACCTTGGCCAATTCATAGAGCCTTTCACTGCCATTTGGCGTTTAGTAGGGCCTCTTGTTTTGTTAATTTCTTAACCATTTCTGCACTATGCAAGCCTCATTTACTCTTGGAGTCAGAAACCCCTAACTCAGGTTTTCCTAACCCTTCCATGGAGTACCATACTTTATACCCCTTACTTCCATCCTCAAAGGTAACATCACCAGTTGCAACCCAGCACATGAGCTCTCTTCTCACATTTTATTACATTAGCAAATTTAGTTCCCCTGTCAATAAGGAAGGATATATTGGAGGGCTAAGCCTTCAATTTGATCTCCTTTTTAATTGCCTCCTAGAAAATCATAGAGAACTAGGAATACTGCCAGGAAGACTTGTCAATAGATTTGAAAGCTAGGGACACCAGACTGAACAAACTCCTGTACTATGACCAAAAACCTCAGCCAAATCCGCTTCTTAGCTGTTGGGGAGGGATCCTGGAGCGCTTCAACCCCAGTCGCCAAAGCTTGATTGTGGTTTCTCTGGAGCTTTTCCACCTGACCAGGCTGCAGCTCTCCTTCCAGGCAGGTATTGTCTCCTATGCCTATTCCTTTGCAGTTCTGCTTATAGTGCTTGCTATTGCCTTTAAAAAGGCATCACCAGTTGCAACCCAGCACAGTGTGGCCAGCCTCTTCTGGGGAGCCCAGGAGCTGGCCACCTCAGGGCCTCCTGCTTTTCTTGCTTCCAAAGCTCAGCTTGCAGGACAGCTTGCTACAGGAGACACAATAACTTCCAAAGTCTCTCACTGCAAGACTTGAAACTCCTGGTATCAAGTGTGTGAGAACAGACCAGGTTCAGATACTTCTGATACCATTTTTCAGGCGATATAAATAAAGACACTGCCAGGTATTAATGTATAGCAGCCATGTTTCAGGAGATACAGGAAGGAAGCATACAACCAAACATAACATCCATAACAGCTTCCTTATGAATTCCATAAACCCCCCAAATTGTCATATCTTTCAGGAGAGAGTCTAGGTAAAACCTAGTGGCTAAAAGGGGTACACCCAGGGAGTCACTTTTAACAGGGCTGCTGTGTACTGGGTCTCCAGGAACAGAGAGGATGGACTCTCCTGGCTTTTCAAAGTGGCTTGGTGAGCATAAAATGAAACAGTAAACCTTTTTATTTTATTTGTATTTATTTTTTTAAAAGGAGAATTTATACACAGCCAGGTAGGACAGGAAAAAAAGACTGAAGAACCTGTCTGGTAGGAGGGTTATTTATAGCTTTTATTTCCTGTCCTAAACAGCCAAGTGGGCAGAGCCAACCTTATTTTAATGCTGCCATGGATTAGCTAGAAAGGAAATCTTCTTGAGCATAAACTATGGAGGTAGACAAAACCAGGAACCCCTCAATGAAACACTATAACATCATATTGTATTACTATACAAAGAAAAACTGGTTTCTTTAAACAATTAATGGAGCATCACACAAAAATAATTCTTACCAGATGATTATATTCTTTTTTTCCTCTTAGGATGAATGTACTAGTTGATAATTATATGATGTCTAATGTTTAATTCTCATCATTTTGTGTTTATTTAATAATTGTATAAGATACATAAATCTTTTAATAATTACATGCAATCTGTATGCATCTTGAAGCCAGTAAGAATCATTAGATTGTAACAAACAGTCAAATGCTTTTGATTTTCCTGTCAAAAAAGCTGACGTTTTAATTAGCTAGGTTAGAAATCCAATGTGCAAGCATGCTTTCTTGAGATAAGATAATATGGGATCAATTAGGCTCATCATGGCAATGTTAATGCATTTTGTAGGATTCCTTGCTGTTTGTGTATGCAATTTTTCCTATTTACACATTTTATAAAATGTTCCCAGAAGAAAGGACTTACATTAAAAATAAATAACTAAATACAATGCACCACTAAATGGTATAATGTCAGACTAAAGAGTGGCTCCAGAACAGCATTTACCGACATGCAAAATGTGGGAAAATGCTGCCAAACTATTCTAAGATTGTTCACATTCGAGTAATCTACATAACCCTACTATTTATAGCTAATGCAGTGGCGGATCCAGAGCCTGATCTCGGGAGGGGCACTTGTAGATTATTTAAATAAATAATCCAGGCACAATAACTACTACAGCTCAGTGTAGTAGTTATGGTGTCAGTAGTGCCAGGATTACACCCCAGAGTAAGTAGTCATACTGTTTAAGAACAGTTTGACAACTTACCTGGGGTCTGCTGGGATATAGGGTATAGGAGCAGTGGTGTGTGTTAAGGGTGAAGTGTGTGAGTGCGGCAGTGTATGTCAGGGACAGTGTTTGTGGGGCAGTGTGTGTATGGGGACAGTGTTTGTGGGGCAGTGTGTGTGTATTGGGACAGTGTTTGTGGGGCAGTGTGTGTATGGGGGGCAGTGTGTGTATGGGGATAGTGTTTGTGGGGCAGTGTGTGTATGGGGACAGTGTGTGTATGGGGGACAGTGTTTGTGGGGCAGTGTGTGTATGGGGACAGTGTGTGTATGGAGGGGCAGTGTGTATATGGGGACAATGTTTGTGGGGAAGTGTGTGTATGGGGGCAGTGTGTGTGTATGGGGACAGTGTTTGTGGGGCAGTGTGTGTATGGGGGGCAGTGTTTGTGGGGCAGTGTGTGTATGGGTGGCAGTGTGTGTATGGGGAGAGTGTTTGTGTATAGAGGACAGTGTGTGTATGGGGACAGTGTGTGTGTGTGTGGGACGTGTGTGTTTGTGTGGGGCAGTGTGTGTATGGGGACAGTGTTTGTGGGGCAGTGTGTGTGTATTGGGGGGCAGTGTGTGTATGGGGACAGTGTGTGTATGGGGACAATGTTTGTGGGGCAGTGTGTGTATGGGGACAGTGTGTGTATGGGGACAGTGTTTGTGGGGCAGTGTGTGTATGGGGGCAGTGTTTGGGTAATGGGGCAGTGTGTGTATGGGGAGGTGTGTAATGCAGTGTGTGTAATGGGGACGCAGTGTGTGTAATGGGGGCAGTGTGTGTAATGGGGAGGCAGTGTGTGTATGGGGGGGCAGTTTGTGTAATGGGGGGGCAGTGTGTGGTATGGGGGGGCAGTGTGTGTAATGGGGGGGGCAGTGTGTGGTATGGGGGGCTGTGTGTGTAATTGGGGGGGCAGTGTGTGTAATGGGGGGGAAGGAGCTTTTAAATAATATTTTTATTTTTTTAAATAAAATAAATATCCTATGTCCCCCCTCCCTTCTTACCTTTACTGGGGAGGAGGGGGGACATATTTCGATCCCTGGTGGTCCCAGTGGTGATTCCCTGGTGGTCCCAGTGGTGAGAGTGAACTCTAGCCCGCGCTCCCGGGCTAGAGTTCACTCTCGCGAGATTTGGAGCGTTGCCGTGGTAACCGCGGCAACGCTCCAAATCTCGAGAGAGGAGAAGCCGGAGGAGCTGCAGACTGAGCTCCGGGTCCTCTCTCACTCCCTCCCTCCGCCGCCGGCTGTCAGCACAGTGGCTGCGGACCGGGGAGGGAGATCTCTGATCTTCCTCCCCGGTCCGCAGGCACATTGCACGGCTGGCAGGGGAGGGAGACCGGCGGATTTCTCGGGGGGGGCAATTGCCCCGTTGCCCCCCCTGGATCCGCCAATGCCATAGATGCAAGATACAAGATACACCCAGCTGCTAGATTTTTACTGTATTCAATGTCACATTATTAAACATTGTTTATACACTGCACTACACCCTTTTCTGTTTCTTTCAACATTTATTTTCCTTTATTCGATGTGAAGACTCTGATAAGGTAAGGGTTTGAAAGAGTTTTTCCCAGAAATATGTAAAGTTAAAGCATGGATTCACTCCCTTGTCTTTTTTTTGTCCCACATATGGTAAAAGAAGACTGCTCTAGAACTTTTGTAGGTGTGGTCTTCCCAGCAAAAGTATTTACTGTGCTTGTAGGTGTACGTAGATTTCTTAATATACATTAACACCTACCTGCTGTGTAACCGCTGTAATGGTTATAGTGCTTGAAGTCTTCCTTTAAGTCTGGCATCAGCCAGCATATTTAATTAACTTCCAATGATAGCATGTAAATTCTACATACTCCTGAGTAGCTCCACCTTTTATCAGCACATAGAATTAAAGGTTGTCCACAAAAACAAGATCACAGTGGCAATTTGATTATCATTTTAGGCCTTTCAGCAACACAATCCTGTAATATTCACAAAGGTAAGGGTCGATAATGATTATCCTAGTTCATTTAAGAATAGCCTTAGCAAAATTATTTTTTTGTTTCTGTGCTGTAGTTTATTTTTGTTTTACCTGGTAACACCCTCTGCACAACGTTTTCTAGACAATGCAATAAACCCAAAGTACTAAATTACATTCCAGTACTGCTTGAAATCCCTTTTAGAGATAATAAATTTAACAAAATTGATATTGGATTAAGGAGATCCTGAACAAGTAGCACTTATCCATAGAGTGGATTTATATAGATAAATACATGAACAATTCCTATGAAATTACTAATCTTTAGCATACTTGTCTTCAGTATGTTGGATCTAAAAAGATTAAAAGAAGCACAGAGATTATAGTTTAGTCGGAAGAGCCAATTATAAAAACTCTGATGTCCTAAATTGTGTCTTTTCAGAAAGAAAATCTATAATGACTCATTGCACAAAATTGTCAGCCAGCCACTTCTGCAGATATTGCTTTGGAATTTTGTAAAAGCTGTAGATATTCAGATGCTCAATCCTGCTTTTGGTTCAAATATAAACACTTTTCGTAATGGCATCTGAGTGCCCTCTAAGGACTTTGAGTTATTGAGAACAATGCACAATCACATACTATGTTTACCTACTGAATACCAACAGAATTTCTTCTTCCAAATAAGTCTCATTTCATATTCTTTTTTCCCCTTAAATAAACATGTCATATTTTTAAAGATAGAAACCTGTCAGAAAGCTTTTTGTATACAGGTACTATGTAAAAATTGATCCCTGGGAAAAAAGTTATTTTGTATTGCTTACATTTATAGATCTGTAGTATAGACAGAGCCAGATTAAGGTTGTCCAGGGCCTTACACAGGGTGCCAGATTGCTCTTTCCTAAAATCGCTGGCTATGTTTCTGTGAGTGTGTGTGGTGACTGTGTGTTATGAGTGAGAGTATATGTTGTTTTGCGTCTGTGGAGGAGCCTACTTGCTGTATGGGTTAGAGGCTGAAAGTGCCTGTGTGTGCTGGTTGAGAGTTGTGCGTGGTGGTTGAGTTTTATGTGTGTGGAGAAGTCTTAGTGGTTTATGGGAGTCTGAATGTGGCTCGGTGTTGTGTGTGTTTTTCCCTGGTGCTTACCTTCCCTGGTGGTCCAGTTGGGGACCTTCGCCATCTGCACCAATGGCTGTGGTGCTATAAGTTATCGTGAAGCGCCAGGGGCTGCGAGTGAGCTCTTCAAGTAGTTTGTACTTATATTGGTACAGACCACAACACTCACTCAACAAATTATTGGGCCACTCACTGCTGTCCCTGTCTGAGCCCAGGTCCTAGGCAGCTAATGGGTGATTCATCTCTGAGTATAGATTATGAGATTTATATATGCACATTAACACAATGGGTATTATTATATTGCATACTTACAGCATTTGTATTGGTTTCGCTAATAATACACTGCTAATTTTAATGTAGCTTTTTGTGCCAATGCACACATTAGGATTTCAATTGATCAATGTCTAGTTGAAAAAGATGGGTTTCATTTTTAAAACATAGATCTTTTCTTTTTTTTTTATTCAGTTCATGTTGATACAAAAAAAAGTATTAACCCATTAACGACGAGTGACGGACGAGGTCTGTCACTCAGTCGAAAGCGTTAATGGCGAGTGACGGAACTTGTCCGTCACGCGCTAAAATTAACCCCAGATCGCCGCAGTGCCGGCAATCACGGGGTTAACGCTGTTGCTGGGTGCCTCCGGGTCAGGGGCAGACCAGCAACAGCAAATCCCGGTATCCCAGCCCATGTGATCACTGTGACAGCCAGTCACAGCGGTCACAATGCTGCTGGGATATCTGATCCGCCTCCCTCCACCACGTGTGGGTTTGTGAAGTGGAGAGAGACGGATCGTTGCAACATTGTGTCCCAGAAGAATAGTTAAGTTCTATTAAAAGTTCCTAATCCCTTTCCCCTTTATTTAAAAAAAAAAAAAATCAACCCTTTCCCTGCTGCCTGATCACTGCTAGCAGTGATCAATATACAGGTCACAGTACTTTACTGTGATCTATTTTTTTTTAACTCTAAGGGGTTACATTTTATTATTTGATTTTATTAATTTGTGATTTAGTTACTTGGGTGGGTGGAATTTAGTGGGAATTAGGGAATAAAAAAAAAAAGTTAAGTTATTTAGTTAAAGTTTGGTTAGCTGTGTTAACTGTATTAACAATGTTTCGAAAGTATAGCGCAGAGGAGGCTTATGCCCTGTTAGCGGCCGACTCAGAGGCGACTGACACTGCCTCAGAGAGTGACGCAGGGAGTGATGCAGGGGACGCAGGGGACGCAGGGGACAGGGACTATGTGCCAGATACTGCAGGACCATCAGGGGAAATCGATGATTCCCCTAATGCTGAACATGGCGCAGATGACTGGGTACCCCCTAATAATTTTTCCCCAGACATCCCAGTGTTTACAGCCAATCCTGGCATACAGGCTGACCTGTCTGGCTATAGTGCGCTGGATGTTATGCAGCTATTCTTGGGGGATGAGATTTTTGGGGAGATAGTCACCCAGACTAATCTCTATGCGGGGCAGTATCTGGCACGCAATCCAGACTCTCTTATCTCCAGGAAAGAGAGATGGAACCCAAGCAGTGTGCCAGAATTGAAACAATTCTGGGCACTGACCATGTTAATGGGGTTAAGTAAAAAGCCCACAATTAGGATGTATTTGTGTAAACATCCTATTTGCAATACCCCCATTTTTGCAGAGACAGTGACGAGGGAAAGATATGTTGACATACTGCGATTTATGCACTTTAGTGACAATAATAAGTGCCCCCCAAAAGGTGATACGCAGTATGATCTTCTTTATAAAATATGCCCTTTGATTGCCCACTTTAACAGTAAATTTGCCACTATATATACCCCCAATAAAAACATTTCCATTGACGAGTCCCTCATGAAGTTTAAGGGAAGACTGGGGTTTAGACAATATATCCCATCCAAAAGATCCCGATATGGGATCAAATTTTATAAACTGTGTGAAAGTGGCAGTGGCTATGTGTACACCTTCTGTGTATACGAAGGAAGGGATAGCCACCTTGATCCCCCAGGTTGCCCAGATATAGTAGGGACAAGTGGGAAAATTGTCTGGGACTTAATAATGCCACTACTTAATAAAGGTTATCATTTATACATCGATAACTTTTATAATAGCATCCCACTGTTAAAAATGTTGTACTGCTTCAAGACCGTGGCCTGTGGCCCTATTCGGAAGAGTCGCACAGGTTTCCCAAAGGCTCTAGCAAACAAAAAAATGAAAAGGGGGGAAAGAGCAGCTCTCTGCCAGAATGAACTGCAAGCACTCAAGTACAGGGATAAAAAGGATGTTTTCATCTTAACCACCATCCATGGTGAAAACACTCGGAGGGTCGCAGTTCATGGCAGAGAGGAATGTAAACTAGTGCCAGTCTGCATACGGCAATATGATCGTCATATGGGGGGCGTTGACCTGTCCGATCAACTGATGCAGCCGTATTTGATCATGCGAAAGACCAGGGCATGGTATAAAAAAGTGGGCATATATCTGATGAAGATGGCAATCCACAATGCCTTTGTCATTTTTAAAAAGGCAAATGCTGGACTGAAAAGCACTTTTCTTTCATTCCAGTCTGAGCTCATTTCTGGGCTACTTGAGTGCCACACAAGGAGACCATCAGTGGAGCCTAGCAGAAGAATGGTGGCAGGTCACTTCTGCTTTAAGATTCAACCAACCCCTAAAAAACAAAACCCCCAGAAAAGGTGCAGGGTGTGTTACAAGAGGGGCGTAAGAGCTGAGACCAGCTATTACTGCCCTGATTGCCCCTCTCAGCCTGGCCTATGTACTGGCCACTGTTTTAAAAATTTTCACACCCAGGCCGAATAAGTAGAGAAGTTTTGGGGTGTGATTTTTAGTCATCTGTCTGATTGGTTACCGAATCTTGGCTTTGTCTCCCGCTTATCCTGTCTTCTCTGATCCTTGACCTCGGCTTGTCCTATCATTGTTCCGTTTCTCTTTACTCCTTTGACCTCAGCTTGTACCTTGACAATTCTCTGCTTGTATAGCCCGGCCATTCTAAGGACCAGTATTACAAGTTTCTCTCTCTGTGTTCTCTCTCTTTGTGGTCTGTCTGTGTTTTGGTTTTGGAATCCATGACAGCTTTGCCCGGGACGCAGATGACTGGGTACTACCCCCGGATAAGTTTACCCCAAATATTCCCCTTTTCACAGCAAATAGTATGCACTTGTTCATAATTTGAATTGATGAGCTGCTTATACTTAAAAATATATGTGGCCTTTGAGAGGTAATTTGCAGTCCTGAGCTGCTAAAATGAGACTTGGGCCCAGCATCCACTTTTGAAAAATATGGAGGTGGTGTGTCTCCAATGTGCCCCTTCAACATCCACATAACCCTGAGAAAGGTACACATGGGGGTATCGTTGCACTAAGATGACATAGCTGAGCAACATATTAGGTGGTATAATGCCGTAGCACACATAAGGATTGCAAAATATACAGTAACATCTCCAAGTGTGTGTCAAAAAGGCAGAAAAAATGCTAATTGCAACTAGACTTGGTACAAACTAACAAAAAAATTATCCTACACTAAGGTTTAGAATATACTTTTTGAAATACCCTGGGGTGTCTACTTTAAGAAATGGTAGGCCTTTGTGGGGTAGTTTGAATTTAAAACGTGCTAAGATGCTTGAAAATTGCACATAGGCCCAGCCTCAAAATTCAAAGTTTGGTAAAAACTGATATGACTTGCTCTACAATGTGCCCCTTCAACATCCACATAACCCTGAAAAAGGTACACATGGGGTTATTGTTGCACCAAGATGACATAGCTGAGCAACATATTAGGTGTTATACTGCCATAGCACACATAAAGATAGCAAAATATACAGTAACATCTCCAAGTGTGTGTCAAAAAGGCAGAAAAAATGCTAATTGCAACTAGACTTGGTACAAACTAACAAAAAAAGATCCTACACTAAGGTTTAGAATATACCTTTTGAAATACCCTGGGGTATCTACTTTAAGAAATGGTAGGCCTTTGTGGGGTAGTTTGAATTTAAAACCTGCTAAGATGCTTGTTAATTGCACATAGGCCCAGCGTCAAAATTCAAAGTTCGGTAAAAACTGATATGGCTTGGTCTCCTATATGGCACTGTAGCTTCACGAAATAGTGCCAAAGACATACAATGGGAGTGTCCTTTTACTCAGAAGACGTAGCTGAGCATAATGTGGTGGGTTTGAACTTAGTGGCACATGTGAAATATACAAAATGTCCAGTAAAAATACAATCCATATGTAAAAAATGCACAAATTTATTTTTTACCACATACTTTCGAATCTATTGGTGAAAAAATGAGGACATGTTAAGGCACAATATGCACCTTATGAGATACCCTGGAGTGTCTACTTTTACAAATGGTAAGCCTTTGTGGGTTTTTTTTGAACAGTCAAACTGTTATAATACCCTAAATGAAAGCATAGGCTCATTAAATCCATCTCTAAAAATTCTACTGTGAGTAATGAAAAGGACAGGTCTCCTATATGGCACTGTAGCTTCACGAAATAGTGCTAAAGACATACAATGGGGTGTCATTTTACTCAACAGATGTAAATGCACACCAAATAAAACTTTGTACAGGAATAGCACACACCAACTTTACAAAATACACACAAGAAATTCTTTGTTATAAGTTTGTGTGCCAAAAACAAAAAAAACCCCACAATTTTACTCCAATATTTAGCAGAGGTTGGCTGTGAAATGGCTGCGTAGAAAGTGTCAAAACAACCTTAGGTAAATAGCCCGTTATGTCTACTTTATATAAATATATACTTTTGTGTGGCAGTTTTGTTTTCTTTTATGGCTATTAAGCTTACAAGACAAACATACCAAATTCTAAAATCGCTCCACATTAAAAGTTTATTTTACTCCTTGTGCTTTGTGACCTGTAACTACCAAAAAAAACCTTAAAATCCCAGACACATTATATATTCTGTAAATCAGAACAACTAAATTAATTTATTTTTAATTACTTTCCTGAACCTGCACTAATTATGCACACATTATTATTGCAAAAACTGTAAAAAAACAAACACATTTTTCATTTTTTTTGCAGATTTCTGTATTTTTTTTATAATAAATAAGCATTTATATAAATATATATATATATATATATATATATATATATATATATATATATGTCTTACATCAAATTAAAGCCCTTTCTGTCCTTTAAAAAACGATATATAATATGTGTCGGTGCAATAAATTAGTAAAATGCAAATTGCAGTTGAACGCAAACAGCAAAAAATGCAAAAAATGCTGTTGTCATTAAGTGAAAGACAAGCTTCTGAAGCTCTGTCCTTAAGGGGTTAAAATGCATATTATTTGTTACCCAATGAATAAATGCCTCTAATTTCCATTTCGTGTAGCAGGTAATTAGCTTGAAGGTCTCTGTACCCAGAGCATAGTAATGTATTGGTAGCTGAAGAAATTAATTATCTCGTAGGCAGGGATCCTTCTTAATGGAACAATGCATCAATCTAACTTGTTATTTTGCTCCAAACATTTTGAAAACATTTAAAGATTTCTTTTAAAGCAGTAAGTGACATACAATTGCAGTATGTCCTTGTTTATTTAGAAAGTATTATGCCAGGATATTGTGTTTTTACTCATTTTAATTATTCCTTTAGTGATGCTATTGATGGAATTGAGAGCAATACAGTGACACACACACATATATTACACCTTCCTTTTCCCAATAATGTTTTACATTAAATACTTTTGTTTTGAATTGCTAAGCATTTTAAAATACAATCGCGTTTATAGGGGTACTTACCTCTGCTTTGATGCACTGTTGTTTTCATCCTGCATAGAAACATATGGTGTTTTCTAGGTCTCCATTGTGTCCATCTGTCTCTCTGTAGAGGCACTGTAAATAGACCAAAATAAATAAATATATGTCTATAAATCAACTGTTATTTTCAAGCGGCTAACCTAAAAATGGGTGTCTAACTGAACAGTTACAAAGCAAAAATACAAAAAGGCAGTGCTAAAAATGAATACACACTTTTTTAATGTCTTTTTTAAAATCTAAATATGAAGATAAAAAATAAATAAATACAGGCTCACTAGCCAGAGGGTAAATAATGATAAAATATGATCACATATCAACACATTAGTATTTCAAAAAGAAGATAATCCAATAGCACCAATAACCACCACAGTAGACAGTACACAAAAGAACATGCTGCCAAATTCTCTTAAGTAGAGTTGAGCAAACCCGAACTGTAAAGCGTTTGACTCGTGTGCCCTTAGAAGCCATTACAGCCATGCCTATTAATGGCATGGCTGTGATTGCCCAGTACAGCATGTGACCCAGCCTCTAAAATATAAGCTGGAGTCGCGTAGCGCCGCACGCACATGAGGTCTTATTAGTGTAGGGAGAGGATGCTGCCGCTGTGAGGGACAGCTTAGGAAAGAATTCTGCAAACTAGTACATTAGTGGGGTGTACTTCATATCTGAGAGTCAAATAGAAGCTTCAAATACCGCGGTTACATCTGAGTTTTAAAAAGTAAATTTTTTTTGGTGCTAAATAGTACATTAGTGGGATAGTACATTAGTGGGGTGCACTTCATATCTGAGAGTCAAATAGAATCGTCAAATACTGCTGTCACATTGCAGTTTTAAAACTTAAAATTTTTGGGTGCTAAAAAGTACATTAGTGGGGTGCACTTCATATCTGAGAGTCAAATAGAAGTGTCAAATACTGCTGTCACATTGCAGTTTTAAAACAAAATTTTTTGGGTGCTAAACTGCTAAATAGTATTTTAGTGGGGTGCACTTCATATCTTAGAGTCAAAAAGAAGCATCTAATAGTGTGCTTACAGTGCAGTGGTAAACATTCTAATTGTTTTGCTGCTAAAATGCTAAATAGTACATTTTGGGGCGTGCACTTCATATCTGAGAGTCAAATAGAAACGTCTAATAGTGCGCACAGTGCAGTGGTAAAAATTCTAATTGATTTGCTGCTAATCTGCTAAATTGTACATTTTGGGGCCTGCTCTTCATATCTGAGAGTCAAATAGAAGTGTCTAATGGTGTGTTTACAGCGCAGTTATAAAAATTCTTATTTTCTTGTTGCTAATCTGCTAAATAGTATATTTTGGGCGTGCTCTTCATATCTGAGAGTCAAATAGAATCGTCTAATAGTGTGCTTACAGCGCAGTTGGAAAATTCTAATTGTTTTGCTGCTAAACTGCTAAATAGTAAGTTTTGGGGCGTGCACTTCATATCTTAAAAACTACCCAGATGTATTAGAGCTGCTGCAGAAAGTGCGGGCCGTCTGTGCGCGCTTTTGGCGTTCTCACCCTGCTGCTGCTCGCCTGTCTGTGCTGCAGCGTAACTTCAGCCTTCCTTCTCACCGCTTTATATGCGACATGCCCACAAGGTGTAACTCCACCTTGCACATGCTGGAGAGACTGTGCGAGCAGCAGCAGGCGATAGTGGAGTTTCAGATGCAGCACGTACGGGTCAGTCGCTCTGTGGAATAGCACCACTTCACCACCAATGAGTGGGCCTTCATGCGAGACCTGTGTGCCATTTTGCACTGTTTCGAGTACTCCACCAACATGGCCAGTGCCGATGACGCCGTTCTCAGTCTTACTATCCCGCTTCTATGTCTTCTTGAAAAAACGCTGATGGCGATGATGGAAGAGGATGTGGCACAGGAGGAAGAGGAGGAGGAAGAGGGGTCATTTCCACGGTTATCAGGCCAGTCATTCACAAGTGGTTTGGAGGGTGGATTCCTGCACCAGCATAGACCAGGTACACAATTGTCAAGCCAGGGCACAGTTCTGGAGGATGATGAGGAGGAGGAACCGTGTTCACAGCAGGGTGGCACCCAACGCAGCTCATGGGCATCACTGGAGCGTGGCTGGGGGGATACGGAGGACACAGATGATACACCTCCCACAGAGGACAGCTTGTCCTTGCCTCTGGGCAGCCTGGCACACATGAACGACTACATGCTGCAGTGCCTGCGCAACGACTGCCGAGTTGCCCACATTCTAACTTGTGCTGATTACTGAGTGGCCACCCTGCTGGATCCCCATTACAAGGACAACGTGCCATCCTTAATTCCCTCACTGTAGCGTAATCGGAAGATGCGCGACTACAAGCGCACGCTGGTAGACGCGCTGCTGAGGGCATTCCCAACTGACACTGGGGGCTCAGTGGAAGCACAAGGCAAAGGCAGAAAAGGAGGAAGAGGTCGCCAACGCAGCTGGGGCACCGCCAGCACCTCAGATGGCAGGGTTAGCATGGCCGGAATGTGGAAAAGCTTTGTCAGCACGCCACAACAACCAGCACCATCAGCTGATATGGAACGTCTTAGCAGTAGGCAGCATTTCAGCAACATGGTGGAACAGTACGTGTGCACACGCCTACACGTACTGTCTGATGGGTCTGCCCCATTCAACTTCTGGGTCTTCAAATTCGAGTATTGTCTGAATGTGTGTTTAGCACGGCAGGGGGCGTTATCACAGACAAGCGCAGCCGCCTGTCCACAGCTAACGTGGACAAGCTCACGTTTATTAAAATGAACCAGGCATGGATCCCACCAGACTTGTCTGTACCTTGTGCATAATAGACATTTATACTGGCCTCACCCAGCCATTGTTATACTCAAGTGCACTTATTCTTTCTTTTCTTTTTTTATATGTCCCAATATTTTGGGGGCTACCCCAATAAAAAAAAAACAGTGTTGGCTACCTCCTCCTCTTCCTCCACCGCCGCTTCCACTTCCACCGCCACAGTGTATACCCAGATATAGCAGAACTGCTGCAGAAAGTGCGGGCTGTCTGTACGCGCTTTCAGCGTTCTCACCCTGCTGCTGCTCACCTGTCTGTGCTGCAGTGTAACTTCAGCCTTCCTGCTCACCGCCTCATGAGACTTTGTGAGCTGCAGCAGGCGATAGTGGAGTTTCAGCTGCAGCATGCACAGGTCAGTCGCTCTGAGGAACAGAGTTTTCTTTTTTTTATATGTCCCAATATTTTGGGGGCTACCCCAATTAAAAAACAAAAACAAACAAATAAAAAACAGTGTTGGCTACCTCCTCCTTCTCCACCCCCACTTCCACCTACACCGCCACGGTCACCGCCTCCTCAACCTATGGGTCACTTAGTATAAACTATGTACACATTAGCAGAGGCTTGTGAAGGCCTTTTCTACATGCATCAGGAGTTGAGCATTTCTCCATGCATCAGGACTGCAAGAAATGTGCCGCATGCCGCAAATGTTTCTTTTTTTATATGTCCCAATATTTTGGGGGCTACCCCAATTAAAAAAAATTAAAAAATAAATAAAAAACAGTGTTGGCTACCTCATCCTCCACCGCCACTTCCACCTACACCGCCACGGCCACCGCCTCCTCAACCTATGCGTCACTTAGTATAAACTATGTACACAATAGCAGAGGCTTGTGAAGGCCTTTTCTCCATGCATCAGGAGTTGAGCTCAGTTTGAACAATGAAAGAAAATACCCTGCACTCCAACCCTCTCTCAAATGGATAATTCTGGTGATCCTCCTGGCAGCCATGCTTTAGATTTTGATTTATGTTCTTCCAAAGCTAAAATCAAAGATTCCATCTAGTGCTATTTTATGGCTCAGCTGTATTTTTAATTTGTATGTTATTTCCCTATCCACATTTGTTTGCAGGGCATTTGTCCTACTCTACCCCATTTTACTTCCCTTTGCAGCTCTCTAGCCCTTTCCATGAGTTTTTTAGAGGCATTTTAGTGCCCAAAAGTTCGGGTCCCCATTGACTTCAATATGGTTCGGGTTCGGGGTCAAGTTCGTACGAACCCGCCCGACCCGAACATCCAGGTGTCTACTCTTAACGTAACAAATAGTAGATAGACCTGTGAACGGACTTGTCCCAAATAGGTCCTCACCTAAAGTTGTCTGAGAAAACTAATGTATGAGGATGAAGTCATCATCAAAATTCATCCACATGCCAAATAAAGTACACTGCTCCACCGTGTATATGGTCAGAGTTTATGCAGATAAATATTGAATATCCACAGTCAGGCCAGGGCAGCAAGGTGCTGAACTCTACAAGTATGCTAATTAGAAATAAACTCTATCCCCTCAAGCAGAAGTGTATACAATCCTCAGGCCTATGCAGGCAGTCAAATGCCTTTAGCGTCTACACGTTTTGTCCGATAGGACTTTATCAAGACATACATACATATTAATGTTATTAGTAGTGCTATTTATACCAATTCATTCAAACAGGCATAAAAAAAACAAACTCAATTTGCAACAATATCTCATATCTGCATACAAAATATACAACAGCTTGTAAATTGAAAAGAACAGCTTGTAAAATTAATGATGATGCTAATAAATTATTACTCTGAGAAGCAAACCAATACATTGATAAATTAATATTTAAGTAATAAATATTCACAAACCTTGAAAGATTAATATACTACATATATAGATTTTATGTATATATGTATATGTTTAAGGCCGAAGGCCTGTATTTGTGGGAGGAGTTAGCGTTACTATATAAACGCTACTCCCCCCTTGCTACCTTGCCGTACGCACGGTGTTCACTCCTCGTCCTCGCGTCTCCTCAACTCGCACTTCTGGTTTCCGGCTGCCAGACGCACGTCCCGCCAAGTTCAGAGCCTCCACTCCATTCGGGGAAACCTAACCGAACACTTCCAGCAACAGAATGCAAACAACATGAACACCCAGGTAACCGGCGGGAATAGCCAAGTTCGGGCTATTTCCGCCGTTCACATATACAATTACTTCACGTTTTAATGTTGGTCCGGTACGAATATCTGTCAGACCTGTCATACCAGGTCAATTCATTAGCTCAATTACTCCATACCAATGGAATGGAAATTTCTCAATTAGGGTACCAACTTGATTTAAAGTGGTGGAGCTGGACAAAGTTAATCTAACATTGGATAGTAAAGTAGTATCTCTCTTGGTTGTCTCTGCCCTGCATGTTTTCTGAGGAGTACCATAATTCATTAGTGGTAAAATGGGTTATATGAGTTGGTATGATCCGCATGGATCACCTCTCCCATCACAATCAGCACCAAGTAAGGCAGATTTTATACAGCAGCTGAGTGTGATAAGCCTTATGTTTGAGTTATATTAAGTTAGTTTGGAGTATAATGTGGCTACCTGAATATGTTGAGAGCTATTCTCCTCAACAGCTGCCTATTGTCTGTCTCAGACTGCAGTTTCCTAATTGAAATCACCTGTACCTCAACGCAGCCCAAACTTTAATAAAAAAAAAAAAAGTAAACATTTGTTTTGCAAATTACTATTGTTGTTGCATATTGTCATCTGCTACCATTAGACAAATTACTGGTTCACGATTGTCGCCTGTTTCTATCAGGTATAAATACGTTTTTTGTTCACATTCCAAACAACTCCCTCTACAAGGACACGTTATTACACGATTGGGTATTGATTCCTGCCTTGTCTCGTCAGGCCATGGCTTCACTCAACAACCTGTCATACGTTCATTCAAACTCACTATCCGTAACATTCGTCCTGTTACTCACTATCTTGCTAATTTCACCCTCCTCTCTCTGTCAGGTAATATCGCGCTTTCTTGGCACAACGCCTTCCTACATCTCCCTTCAGGAATATATAGTAGCCATCACAAGAATCTTCAGCATCCTCAGGGTCTAAGGATACTGTACTATCAGCTATATCTCCATTAACTGCACTATACTGCATATAATTTTCTTTCCCTCAACCACAGTTCCTTTCCTCTTTCTTCCTCCTTTTCCTCCCTTCTTTTTCTCTTTCTTCGACCGGGAATCTCCAGGTACCTATCATAAACCACAACTTAGGTTTGCCAAGCACGTTACGTTACCCCCTTATCAAGCCCCCGTCTAGGGTCAGAGAACTGGCTATCTAGGGTTAAGAGCTGGCCTTAGCTGTACAACGTAGCTGGTCCCGCAATGCCAACTCCCCCATCTCAACACGGAGATTTTCACCTCTCGGGCCAAGTCATAGTTAGAGCCTCACATTCACCCACCTATCGGGTTTATAGTTAGGGCCTCACCTGACAAGGCCACATGTTTTGGATCTTTTACTGTCACCGAGAGGCCAACACCCCGCCACCACGCTAGTGGCTCAAGCCCCACGCCCAAATCATAGGTAGAGCCTCTCACACGCCGCTTGGCAACTAGCAGGGCCTCACTTGTCACTGGGTAGAGAGCTTTCCACTTCAGCACTAGTTAGTCAGCCAGTTCTATATTACTTAACCGTATTGTTGTTAATCAGTTCATTGTTGTTGTCATATTCTTTTTCAGTATGTCCTAAGAAGGCAACATCGGACAAGGGATTGCAGCATTTACATAACTATTAGGGTTTACTGACCAAGAGACACTCGGGCTCGTACCTCACCCAACTGACAACACCCGAGCATAATCCACATTTCAGCATCCCCATCTGGTCACCCGGCTATTGGGGCTCGACAACAAGTTATCACCTAGAGCATTATTCGCTTGCACTAAGATACATACGACAGAGTCATGACATTCTTCCAAGACTCAGTGGAACACAACATCCACAGCCATACCGATCAACTTGTAGTCTTTTCTGCATTTTTTGCCACCTTTCAGTCAAACCCTCATACAACACTATCGCACTATACCAATCAGACATACTACAACACATTCTGACAAGACTTCCAAACCATACCCCGTCCTCTTAAACGCTTAACATAAGTGATCAAGGTAAAAATAGTTGCTTCATCACTCTACAATTACATACATCCACAGATGGGAATTCCAGGCCGTATCAGACTCCATAAACAGCATCTGTACCACACATACCCAGTCTTAACCACTTAAGGACACATGACGGAAATATTCTGTCATGATTCCCTTTTATTCCAGAAGTTGTGTCCTTAAGGGGTTAAACCTCTGTGCCTTTAACCTTCCAAGGATTTCGGGTCCCTACAACTTCACGATCACAGCTAATCAGACTGGCAAGTCATGTCTCCTCAAGGGAATTAATAAGGCACAGACACTACCTCATGTCACGACAACTTTCAAACGAGACAATCAAAACAGTTGATCTACTAAATATTCTGCTAACTACTTCTAAATGCAGTTCTACATTAATACTCCTTGCATTAGATTAGGTTGGGACCTCTGGCTCCTATTTAGAACATCCTATCAACAAGTACAGCATCCAGTAGCAGTACGTCGGTATACATAATAATTAGTCATTGGAATCAGCAATGTTATACAGAAACATTCCAGATAAGAGGTAAGGCACACGAATCTCATGGGATAATTATTTAGCAATAAGTGTGTTTTCTTGCATTTCGTTTTGCCCTCTTTTACAGGCCTACCCCCTATGTCGGTTCCGGCACATCACACCGATTTAATTCCAATCACAAGGTATTTCACAATACGATATTAACCGACCACAAGTTTAAGGCCGAAGGCCTGTATTTGTGGGAGGAGTTAGCGTTATTATATAAACGCTACTCCCCCCTTCCTACCTTGCTGTACGCGCGCTATTCATCCCACCCACCTCTCCCTCTTATACAATTCATTCGGGAGGCCCTCTTTTACAGGCCTACCCCCTACGTCAGTTCCGGCACATCACACCGACTTAATTCCAATCACAAGGTATTTCACAATACGATATTAACCGACCACAAATATATATATATATATATATATTTCTATATAAATGATCACGAAGGAGAGTTCTCACTAGACTTTTCAACCAAATCCAAAATTCAAGTATTTATTGTGAATACAGTCAAATTACATCAAAGTATTTTTCTCTTAAACACAGCCAATTAAAACCAAACCTTATCAAAATTATCTAAGAAAAAGTACAATTGTGCCTGAAGCTTAAAAACGTACCAAAATAATTATGTTTAACCCATTGTGGGTGTGGGCACCATTAAAGTAAAGACATCTGTTAACATCAACAGGATTGTGATAAGTGTTAGTAACAACGTTACCATTTTCCCAACTTTAAAAGTAAGGTGTAAAAACATGATAAACTTGATCCCAATATTATATGTGAAAGATAACCCAAATCAGTAATTATTAAACCAAGAAACAAATTCTTTAATACCAGCAATACCAGCCTTCCAAGTTATTACTATATCATCAATGAAGCAGTGATGGAGGGCTACATTGTACCCCCATGGGTTATGATGCCTTACATAAGATTCCTTAACGGACCACTATAGTGCCAGGAAAACATACTCGTTTTCCTCGCACTATAGTGCCCTGCGGGTTCCCCCACCCTCAGGGACCCCCTCCCGCCCGGCTCTGGAAAGGGGTTAAAACTTACCTTTTTCCAGCGCTGGGCGTCTTCTCTTCCCCATCGGCTGAATGCGCACGCGCGGCAAGAGTGCTTCTCAATGCTTTCCTATGGACGCTGGCGTGCTCTCACAGTGAAAATCACAGTGAGAAGCACGCAAGCGCCTCTAGCGGCTGTCAATGAGACAGCCGCTAGAGGAAATAGGGGAAGGTTTAACCCATTCATAAACATAGCAGTTTCTCTGAAACTGCTATGTTTATGAAAAAATGGGATAACCCTAGCTGGACCTGGCACCCAGACCACTTCATTAAGCTGCAGTGGTCTGGGTGCATAGAGTGGTCCTTTAAGTAACCCAAGCAAAAATTGGCATATAAAGGTGCAAATCTAGCCCTTAACATTGCTGATGGAGTCTGTAAATAAATTTCACAATTAAAAAAAAAACTGTGCCTTGTGAGCACAAATTTTGGAAAATCAAACAGTGAATTAGCTTGTAAATTTGGGATATGAGGATCATTAAGAAATATTATCAGATTCAAGTCCAAATTCATATATAGGATGGTACATGCTTTGCATACCTCTAGATGATACTTTTTTTTAATAATTTAGAGAGGTTGCATGAACAGAATCAATAGAGAATAGACCAGTCCTCCTGGTTGGTTTTTGTTTTTTGTTTTTATACAATAGTAGTTTATTGAAAATTTCAAATGTTAAGAGGACAGAAATTAAAACTGTGCTGGTGGGTATAAAATACACTTGAGGGTGTCTATCCCATGTGAGGTTTTATTTTACCTCACCAGCACAATTTTGTATTTTTTGACATATTACACGAAATTGTGTTTTTTTTCTCTTGTTCTAGTGATTTTCTTCATTTATAGCTTTCAATTTTTATAAGGCTAAGTGTATATACTCATAGCTCTCCATTGGGTTTACTTATTGTAGATTTATACCACTTAATTCAGTCTTATTTGTTGCATGATTTTGTTAAGTTGAAGAGACTTAGACTTGTTTTGTATCTGCTATTTGTATTAATTATTGGTCTCATATCCACATATAAGCATCTTTATTGCACAAAGCATTTTTTTTTTAATTAAAAATGCATTCACAATTTTAAAATCAATGCATTGTTTTTATCATTCCATGTTCTTTCAGGATCACCGCTCCCTTATTTGAGAGGATCTTTGTGTCTGCAGGGTACTATTCTTTCCCTGTTGTGCAGTCCATGTTTGAGCATCTTACACTGCTTGGAATGTAGTTTGTTGACGGGTTTTGTGGGTTCCGAGCAACTTCCTTCAGGACATGTCGCCTACAGGAAGCTTCTCTATTTTATCCATCAGTCATTCATCAATTTAGTTACTCTTTATCTGACTGAATATATAGGTTTTTAGTCACAATTAGCAAATTCTTTATGTTATGGTATCTTTAACACTGTTTCGCTAATTACCTAGATACATAACTATGTAACTATAGCTAACTATGTAATGTTTCTATTGACCATGTTGGAGTTTCCACAAAACTATCATAAATGGAAAACATTTTATAAGAATACATTTTAAAACGAATAAATAAAATCTCTTAAAAATCCTTGGTATACCTATTTTTGAATAAATACAGTGCAAACTTAAAATATTAAACCAATTAAATACCTTTATAGACTAGTGTAAAATACCCTCTGTATTTAAAGAAAAATCTACATATTTTCCATATTCTGCTATTAAATACTGTATTGTAAAAAGAAAGATTTTTATAAAATAATTACCATATCTATATTTTAAAGAAAAAAATATACAATTAAGATTAATGTATTTCAAAATTATTTTTATATACCTATTATTTTATATATATATTTTTTATACATATAAAACTGCATATGCTTTCTTTCTTTTTTTTCCTTGAATAGTATTTATTTGTATTTTGACATAAAAACAAGCATTCACTTTCTTTTTATACATTTGACACTTTACATTGTTACAACGTTACAAGACACACAGCATCTGATAAAAAACATTGGGTTCGACTGCGTTCTGTATTGAGAATACCTTCTCACAATTGTATGCCAGCAAACCCAGCCCATCTAGTGTCTATTACTGGAACGATGCGGTGTTCCAACATTGCAACATAGGCATTTAAGTAGGAGACGAACAAAGAAGAACATAAAAAAAATATAGAGAAACAGAAAAGAGTAAGGGCATAGGTCTTCACTGTTGACTATATTTCCAATATACACACAATCTTATGGAGAATCATGGTTAGGGACCGCTGGTGTACACTCACCATCTGTAATTGGATACCTCGGTGGGATTCGGGTTTTGAAAGCTTTTTTATTACTATTGTGAGTTGGAAACTGCGGTGTGAAGGTGATATACCTTGTGCAAATTGGCCCCATCTGCTTTCTTTCTTAATATAGATCATGTATTCATTTGAGAGATTAAAGGAGGAGGTAATGGCGCAAACAGCACTTTGGAATAACAGAAGATATAACCAAATTAGAAAATATTCCAATACAAAAGAAATGACCATAGATTGGCACTGACAAAGAAGCAAGAAAGTAGTCTGATGACATTTATGGGTGATAGAATTAAGGCAATCCATGAAAGTGTCCAAATAATAACATGGTTATCCGTTAAAGCAAGAATTGTGGGTAATTTAGTAACCAAACTGGATGCTGACTTGGAGACTTTTACCAGTTTGATCATAGTGGCCCTAATCGTCACATTTCTCACTTTAGTGAATAACCCTGTATACATGGTTCATTTCTTTAAGACTATGTTGTTTTGTCATTAACTTTTAGTCCGTTATCATTCAAGAGGATTTAATTCCAATATAGTTTGCAGTTTCCAGATAGAAAATAGCTCCCAACTTTGGAATATATGTATGCCAGACAAGATGGGTTATGTCAAAAAGGGGAAATGTCCTGAGTTAGCAGCCTATACTAAATTAAACATACTCACACCATGCTTTCTTGGCCCTTATTTCCTGTATTCCTAGGAGGGGGGACATTAGATAATCAAATCAGGATGCAGGAAACTTTGGATGTGTAATAAGGGAATAATTTCAAATTATAGCAGGCAGTCTGCACTATATATTTTTATTCATTGTTTTATTTTAAATCCAGTGTTATGAAATACAGAACCAAAACAAAATATGTCACTATCTATATACTTTTGTTTTCAATAGATCAAAATCCACAAGTCTGACTTCTGAGACACTAAGAATTTAATTGAGTAATAGTTGTATGCCAAAATTATAATCCACCGCTTTCAATACATGGAATATCATTTATTTTCTTTCTTACAGGGAAAATTAACTGTGAAGAATCTGATGCTAACCAGTATCGGAATGACACTGACAAGAGCAGTGGGGAGGTTGAAAACAGAGAAAAGCAAAAAATCAAAGTCTTTTCTGATTCTGACAGTGATGATAACATACTTCTGCCGCGTCTGTTTGGGTATGATAAAGAAGAGGCTCAGAATGTCTACCATATTTATACCTCTGACTTACCTCAATATGATAATGCAACAATGGCTGTGGAGATGAAGGATGGGATGAAGTTAAAATATTCCCAAGGTAAATTGGTAAACTTAGTAAATTAACACAACTTAATTGCAGACTCATATCTGAGTGTAGATTTCATCTGTATGTAGTACTATCCATCAAGATATAGCTGCAAAAAATATATTAGATGCACACAGGTATAAACACAAACCAAGCACCTTAAAAAAGTATATTTAGTGTCAGTCTGTGAATTTTATGTATTAGAATTTGTGTGATTGTTTTAGAGAGTGTTTCTAACAATGCTACCAATACAATGTATAGATTTAACGGACTCATCTTTTATTGAAATTAAAGTTTTGTGTACCATGACAGGCCCTCTATTAAAACTGATCCATCATGTTTATGAATTTGGAACCAACTGCCATTACGGGTAACCAGTGGGGAGAGGCAGTGGATTAAAAATATATCAAAACAGAGAGACAGACAATAAAACTGAACATTTGCCAGCATATGTAATTAGTTAACTATTGTAGTAGAACATCATCTTGCCAGGCATCAAAGCATACCTTGGAAGAGTAAAAACAAGAAATGTTGTTAAGGGCTTACAGCCTATCATTATCTTCCAAGAATGGACAAATAACAGGAGACCATCCCCCTTGAGTCTGCTGCCCTTCTGAGGGCTGGCACGGAGGCCAGAGACACCTTTCAGCTCCTGAGCCCTGCTGGTATCTGTGAAAGCACAGCTGCAAGAGGACGGAACCTGAGTCCTTTGGTGCTACCAGATGCTGTCAGTGCACCCATCCCAGACTTAGTCCTCTGAATCATTTTACTAAGCGGAATACAAGAATCTATCCAGGACTCTCCCATTAATGCTAAGTGAAAAAAGAAGCGGCATATTAATAAATTTTTCATGATTTGATTTCTTGTTTATAGATGCACAGAAAGTGGTATGACAGCGCAGAAACATATCAATATTACTGGGTTTTACATCAGACACTGTAATCGAGTGCCCTGTATGTATCTTTCTTCTCTTGTACTGCCTCATATTGCTTTAGCACTATCCAAGGATTTTTTTATTTACATATTGCATAGAATTATTGATTAATTGATCCATCCTTTGTAGAGATGGAAAGCGTTAAGATTTGAGAATCTTTATATTTGTACTCTCCATTAAGTGATTCTTGATATTGATACTTTTATATACTTTATACTATTGTATTTATCCCCTTTTGTGTAATGAAATGGGGGCGGGGGGGCGGAGCTAATGCCCGATCACACAAGACGCATGTTTGTGGAACTCCGGATGAAACAGAACTCCAGAAAAACAGAAAAATAGATTATTTTTGTCTTTCAAAGTGCCCAGTTTGCTCTATGGACACATTGGCCAATGCTCCAAAAAACACTGGACCATTTGGAATTGGGTTCCAAAGATATTGGGGGTTTTATGCTGCAGGTGCTGAGGCCTACTCCTATAAAAAGGGTGCTTGCTTCTCTCGACTCTCCAGCCTTGTCGGGGGGGAAGAGGTAGTGGGGACTTTCCTACAAACGATTCCACAAACAACCAGGCTTCTTCAACTAGGGCCTATATAAAGGCTCTCTTCAGTGATTTCTGCAAAACGCTTCAGTCTGATATGGTGGTCATCTGGGAGGAAGTGGCCACATTAACAGTTCAAATACGGGCTGTTGAAGAAGACTTGGGGGGAGCTTGTGTGGCACAATCAGACACCAATGCTACTCTGGGGGAGCTATCGAAGAGTAGATTTTGGCATTTTAATGACTGAGACTAATAATTTAACTTACCTATAATTATAATAAGTATTTTAATTTGTAAGAATTTTTGTAGTTCTGTACAGAGTGTAAATAGATGTGTAGAGTATTATACTTGAGCTGGGCTTTCTTGAGATTGTCAGTGTGAATCAACATGCACCATAGGATGAAATTTACAAGCAAATCCCCAGTTATAGCTGTGACCTTGTGCTGTCTGCACTGTAGTGCTAAGCAATAACAGTGTACAAGATACGTTATCTATCGAACAGTGCTTTGACATGGTCTAGTGATCATTCTGCTGCTGCTCTGAGCAGACTGTGTTCAATTAAAAGGCTATGTATTTGCTTGGATAGTTTCTGACATACAGTATATCGCACTTGAAAAATATATCCGTTATACATTTTCTCTTGAAGCTGAATATTTTTATGCACTGACTGTGACTATATTTTTAATAAAACATTTCCATTATTATTAGACTGTTGCAGAATTTGGAAATACCTTTATTCTTGCTATTTTATTTTTTTGTAATTTTATTTTAACATCTGGAAAGGTCACACAACGACAGATCGTTTTGTGACTCTTTCATCTTTATTTGAACATAGCAAGGCACAAAGATCATTGCTGAGACAGCATTGTCCCCCCATGCTTTTGACAATGGATGGTCTGCAGCACCTGTCTTAACAGGCAACTGGTAAGAGTTATTGTTTTTAATACCCTTTAGAGTGAGAAACATCTTAACATGCACCTGGGAATAGATTTAGAGTAACTGGTGATTTCAGAGAGCCATTTCCATACAAAAACCCTAGATCCCTCATAGCTCTTGCATTCATTGCAATATCCATAGAGATGCAAGCTATCGCAAACCTTCATGTGTATAAGCTGCACATATTGCAATGGTCAACTTAAAGAGACATGCATTACTTCACAGCAAGCAAACACGTTTACACAAATATAAACCTAAAATATAGCAGGAAATGTCTGAAAAGTACATAAATGTTTTTAAACTTTCTACAAATTTTCGCAGACTGGCTTGTCCGGCACGTCTCTCAGCTGGAGTTGTTTACTGGGTTTGCTTTATTACTTTAAAGCAGTGGTTCTTAACCCCTGAATTTGTACCCGAATTTGGGTCCCCATGCTGTTTTGGTGGGTCACCAATAGTATGGAACAGGCACATTATATGTATTAGGGCTCAGGCAAATGTCAAAATGAATTGCACTTTGGAAAGAGTATAATAGTTATTTTTTGCAGAATATCTTTTGTTTTATATTGCATTACAATGAAAAAATGGTTCACTGAGCTAATTTAACAATTGAACACTAGGTCACAAGCAAATGTCATGTATTAAGTTTGAAAAAGTTACAAACCACTATTCTGCAGGCCTTCCAACTGTCCTGATTACGGTGTGACAGTCCAGATTGTAGGTTCCTATCCTGCTAGCCCGGTTTTGTTCCCTGGTGTCCTATTCTTAGAGACACCAGGAAACTGTCTCCAAAATGCCCAGCATAAATGCATCATTTGATGTGCTCACACCACTAACTGCACTATGATCCTGCAGAAAGCACAGATGCAGTGTGCCCTCCATGGTCTGTAGGCTTACCTGCCAGTTCTCTGGGCGGCCTGGCCATTGCACCAATGGCCTTCCCACTGGTGTCATGATTCAAGGAATATGCACACAAAAAAACAAGTAAAATATGGCGCTACAAATTGTGACAAACAATCAATATTTCAATAAAAACAGCATCTCCCAAATGCAATAAACCAATATACACTAATACATGCAATGCAACCAAACAAAGGTGCGCTAAAATATTAAAAGTGATATGTATATCCAAAATGAGAGAAAAAAAACACAATATCATAAAGTGCACAATTAAAAGTGCATGGTGTATTAAAGTGCACAATTATGACCAAAGTGCAATTGCAAAATAAAGTGCAAAAACAGTAAATTTGTGTGATAAAAAAATTGCTACCTTGTGCAATCTTAAAATACAAACCTATCTTACTTACATATTACTTTAGACTTTCACTGATATGTACATAAAGAGAAAACGTAAAAATAACATATAAGGTGATACTGTTATAGATAGTACAATATATAAGTGGTACTATATGCACTCACAAACAAGGAGCAAGTAAGACTGCTAAAGCTGTCAAGGCTCCTCTTCACCACCATACAGCATTCAACTTCCTCCTGTGGGGTGGACCAATCTTGTAAAATATGTGCACAACCAAAAAATATTGATCTTCCAAAATCTTTATTACCACAATAAAAGATAAAAACAAAAAAACTGGAGTCCTCAAACAGCAGTCTCTCACCTCAGCCCTTATGTGGGATTACTAAGGACTAGCTCTGTGTAGAAACGATCCAAAAACAGTTCCGGGGGGGCGTGTGACGTCTGACGTTGCGTAACGGATGACGTCAGGCATGATGACGCGTTTCAACGATTGTATCGGCTTCTTCAGATCTGCCCAACTCTGGCAATCACTCTAGTTTAAATCCATTCTATAGGCGTATACAGCCCAAAACATAGACATAGAATACGTAGACGCCACATTGCGTGCTGAGCGGCGAGAAATGCAATCGCCATCTTGGACTGGGCGCTGCTCTACTCAAGCTATTGAAGAACACTTGGAAAGTCCATCTCACAAAAGGTAAGTGAAGGACTTGGAGCACTTATAGTCCTTAATACCCATACCCCTGCACACAGTGTTAATACCCCTACCCACAGTGTTAATACCCCTATCCCAGCACACATAATGTTAATACCCCTACCCCAGCACACATAGTGTTTAATACCCCTATCCCAGTACACAGTGTTAATACCCATATCCCAGCACTAGGTGTTTTTAGGGGTATTGAGTCCTTCACTTACCTTTTGTGAGATGGACTTTCCAAGTGTTCTTCAATAGCTTGAGTAGAGCGGTGCCCAGTCCAAGATGGCGCCCGCATTTCTTGCCGCTCAGCACGCAATGCCATAGATGTGCGGCGTCTATGTATTCTATGTCTATGGTCCAAAAGAGTCCAAGAATCCTATAAAGTCATTGGTTATGCTGCAAGCTTTATGCAAATGCATTAAAGAGACAATTTACAACAGACAAGGGGAATTACTCACTAAACAATGCATTGAAAAAGGGAAAAAAAGGGGAAATATGTCAAACTTTAGATTTACAACACGCATTACAATAATATTGTATTATATGGTAAAACATCAAACAATATTAAAAAAGAAAAGGAAAAAAAGAAAGAAAAAAAATCGTAAAATTCATAAACTAATAAAAAATATAGATTCCATAAAGATATTAAAGAGATAATTACTTTATACTTTAACCAATCTCATATTTAATATTTGTTCTAATATATAATATAATATAAATATTTAGGGGGGATAGAAGTCACAACAATTACCACTTAAGGTACTGGTGCAAATTCTCTTAAAGAGATAGACCTTACTACCGAAATATAATACACAGTTAATATGTAAAATGTAAAATTGTTTAAAATTCAAAAAATCTAAAAATCAGAACATAAACAAAAGAAAAAAGAGGAATACACATAATTGTAATTCTATAAAAAAAAAAAAAAAGATCGAACTCTATATTGAGGCCATATGGTTCTAGTGTGTTGAGTCTATAGACCCATCTCATTTCATCCTTACCAACTTCCTTAACCCCTTAAGGATACATAACATGTGTGACATGTCATGATTCCCTTTTATTTCAGAAGTTTGGTCCTTAAGGGGTTAATATAATTACTCCTTCTTTGGGGTTTCTTAACTCTTAACTATTTGTATCCCAAGGAAAGTTAAGCCTCTGGGATCCATATTATGCCTTTCCTTATAATGAGCAGATACACTATGCTGTGTATACCCTTTTAAAATATTATAAACGCGCTCACCAATCCTAATCTGCAATGGCCGTATGGCGCGGCCCACATACTGTAGGCCACATGGACAAATTAAAAGATATATCACATTTCTAGTATTACCCGTAATGAAATCCTTAATTAAAAATCTCCTTTCAAAGTTCTAAATTTATCTACTCCTTTCAAGGTCTTGTTCTTACTATACTTGCACGCCGTGCACTTATTGCACAAATAAAATTTACTGTTTTTGCACTTTATTTTGCAATTGCACTTTGGTCATAATTGTGCACTTTAATACATCATGCACTTTTAATTGTGCACTTTGAGATATTGTGTTTTTTTTTCTCTCACTATTGATTTATGATTTAAGGAATAGCAATGTTGGGCGAAGTATGGATCTGTAGTATAGAACCTATACATTAGATTTAAACATTCAGAGACTGCAATCTGGTGTATAGTATCAATGTCTTCATATGTTCATATCTCAAAATTGCCTTTATTTGATTGGCAGAGTGCAAGAGCTGTATACTGTATATGAAACATATATAATGTCTTGCAAGTAGCCTGTCCTGAAAAATTATAATCAACCCATTTTGCTGTTGAATCATGGGAGCCCAGTATATAGATAACACAAGTCACTGTGACAACACTTTGTGATGTAGGTAATGCTAGAACAGTCTGCAGGAAAGTGGTCAAGCACATATATTGCTTTTATTTATTTTACAGGTTTTGTTTGATATAGTGCATGTAGCTGAATACAGCCCACCATTTAAAATATGTGCAGTATGTCTACTTTTACCGAGGGTAAAGTATATCAGTAATTGGTCGTAGCCATAGTAACAGGTCAACTAAGAGATTTTGCAGCAGAAGATTGACATCATTAAATGTGTTCATGTGGCTACGCAGGCAATTTTGCAGAAAAATGCTAACACTAAACACTTTATAAATACGGGGAATATTGTGCTTTGTATTTTTCATATCAGCGGTTACTGTAGGAGAATCAATGCTTGGAACAGCTGTGATTGTTTGTCTATTATATTTATATATATTTTAATGATTTCTGAATGTTTTGTTGTTTTTTTTGTTTGTTTGTTTTTGCCTGTTTGTGGTAGGCTTTTTCTTCTGTGAAAGAGCACATTATTATTATTTTGCATTTGACATGGATTAGCCTTAAAATACTTAAAATAATGTATGATTACTGGAAAATACAGGCCGTGATTATAGAAGCACAACACTGACAGTTTTATAAGTCACTTCCTCTCGGAAAGCAAGTGGCATTGCTCCTTGTTTTTTTCATTTCATTAAAATTCACTTTTTTTTTTTACATTTATAATATGTGACCCAATTCTTGCTATCTTAATGTGTTCGTCTGCATATGGCAGTATTTATTTGTAATGAAATACTGTATATATTCCAGGCATGTCTAGAAATCAACATATTGGTCGTTTTTATATGCGGTCTGAATAATAATTTTATAGGACATTTGTGCGAGAGTCGTGTGTGTATGGTTCAGTTTCTGTCAAAGAAAAACAAACAACAGATGAACCACAGCTTGGGAAATATGTCCAACAGGTGTAGTCAGTGCTCTACAACAAGCAAAAAAATTCACAACTTGAGTATCTAATTTCTCATTGAAGAAGATCCAATCTCTTTTCACCTTTTCGTGTTTCCCTCCTCCAGTCTTTTCCCAATGCCTTTTCCAATGTCTTTCTATCTGTGCATCATTATGCACTAGATGAAATGTGGCTATCATTACATAGAAGTGTATTGTTCTTTCTTTTAGAAGTATGTTCCCCAGTTTCTACCAGAATTGTTTCAAGCTTCCATGGCTCATCAGGCTCACTTTCCCGGCGTTTTACCTCTTTACCACTCTCTTTACCACTGTTCCTCTGCCAGTCTCTCTTTTCCATTACGATCAACCTTTTTCACCTTAATGCCAAGCAGTTTCTCCATTCTTCTTAGCATTGCCTATTTCCCTCCCTCTGCCTGTCTTTTGTGTTTCTTTGCATTAGTCTCCGTTACTAATTATTGCTAGGTGGCAAAAAGACCAGGGGATTCAGCCCAAGGGTAGATTTCATGACCATTTCCAGACTATATTTGTTTGTATCTTCAAATGTTGAGTGTTCTTATTATTTCTATATTAGAAACCTAAATGTAAGTTTTCAGGCGAATTTGGCAAACAATTAAAATGTGCAAAAATTGTACCTGAGGTTTTACCTGAGCCCACTTGGGTCTACAGTCTAGGTAAGCCCTCCAGCAATACCTTGTGTTGCTTACCTCTAATACTTATGATGGAACTGTGTGTGATAGGGATTGTGTGCAGGGAGCTACATGCGGGGAGTTGTATGTTGTCTGCACCACTCCATGCAGATAGGTGTGTTGATGTATTCCTGATGTGAGCTTTGTGTGGCAGGCTTCATGTGTAATGGGAAATGTGTGTAATAGCATGCTTATACTTCCCAACATTTGAAATGGACAAAGAAACATAGAAACATAGAATGTGACTGCAGATAAGAACTGTTTGGCCCATCGAGTCTGCCCAATTTTCTAAATACCTTTATTAGATCCTGGCTTTATATCTAGGCTATCCTTATGCCTATCCCACACATGCCTATCCCACACATGCTTAAACTCCCTCACTGTGTTATGCACTACCACTTCAGCTGGAAGACTATTCCATGCATCTCCTAACCTGTATGTAAAGTAAAACTTCCTTAAATTATTTTTAAACCTTTGCCTCTCTAATTTAAGACTATGTCATCGTGTTGTGGTAGTTTTTCTTCGTTTAATTATAGTCTCCTTTACTGTGTTGATTCCCTTTATGTATTTAAATGTTTCTGTCATATCCCCCCATCTCGTCTTTCTTCCAAGCTATACATGTTCTTTATCCTGTTTTATCCTGCAATCCATGAACCAGTTTAGTATCCCTTCTTTGAATGCTTTCCAAAGTATCAATATCCTTCTGAAGATGTGGTCTCCAGTACTGCTTACAATGCTCCAAGTCAGGTCTTACCTGTGTTCTGTACAATGGCATGAGCACTTCCGTTTTTCTACTGCTAATACCTCTCCATATAACCAAGCATTCTCCTAGCATTTCCTGCTGCACTATTGCATTTGTACAACAAATTATCCCTTCACACCACACCAGTGTATAACAAGGATAAAGCTACTTAGCTTGAAATTGCAGCTTCCCAAGGTCCCTTCCCTGTGGGTGACCTCATACAAATATAATACAAAATAGAAATTGGGATACAGCTGAGTATCAAAGAAAAAAAATAACAACAAATAATAGTGCAACACTGTTGGTAATCAAAAAAACCATGAGTGGTGGAACTCACAGACTCCAAGTGTTTAAGGTGCCTTAAGGTTGCCTTCCCTCTGTGGGAGGTCAGGATCCTCTGTATGTTGTTCATGCTCCGGATGGCAATCAGGAACCAGGTCAGTAGGTATAAAGAATTTATTAGCTCCAAATGTATTCAAAATATATCAAATATAAAAGCAAATATTAGATCACTGGACCACAGAGGGAAGCCAACCTTAAGGCGCCTTAAACAGTTGGAGTCTGTGAGTTCCACAATTAGTGGGGGCACCGCTCTTTGATTATCAACAGTGTTGCACTATTATTTGTTATTCTTTTTTCTTAGATTATCAGCTTTATCCCAATTTCTATATTGCTCTATGACATTGCCTGCCTACCTTTAAGTAATCTGATATAATTACTCCTGAAAAGAGGGATACGTTACTGTTAGGGGTGTGAGTGGGGGGGGGTGTTCAGGGATGGGGCTGTTTTGAGAAACTCTAGGTGATTTACTATTAGCAATTTATGCAACTAAAATGTATTTTATAGCAATGTACCTTATTTATACATACTATTTTCTAAATACATTTATTTAGGTTTATTGGGAAATTACTGTGCGTATTGTTGCTGTGGTGCTCTGTTACACATTCTGACACAACAACAATATGGGTCTCCTTGAAAAAGAGGGACAATAGGATAGAAAAGAGGGACAGAGGGAAATGGGCACAAAATAGCCACTATCCCTCCTAAATAGGCAAAATTGGGTGGCATGCATGCATGTGATGGTTGTGTTGGGTGTTGCATATGGATGTTTGATGACAACTGAGAGAAGTAGGAATACTTCGGTAGTTGGTTGTTACCTTTTGGGCAGGGAGAGGACATTCTCCATAGTGGTTCCTGTGTGAGAAAAAATGTGGTCTGTATCTTCAGAAACAGTAGGTCACTGTCATTGCTTCCTTGTGTATGAACTGGAGCAGTGGACGAGTAACCTGGCAGCTGTTCTCTGATTTACCCATTGTGAGGGAGTGCAGACAGTAATTTAAATTAGTAAACTTGACTAATGCCTGGTCTAAGTGTGCTGGAGGATTTCCTGTTGCTAGTGATACTTGATTGTCTGTCCTCTATGGTCTCTGTGTTTTCTGTGAGGTGTGTTTTCTTACTGTCTTTCCTCAGTTCCTCTGTATCTCTTGATACACAGCCTTTCCCATATTCATGTGTACTCTGTCCTGATTTCTACATACTGCTGTTGTGCTATAAATAGAACAACCATGCCTCCAAACAGTCCTGATTCTGGCTGGATAGTCAAGATTTTCAGGTCATGACATAATTCCCTAGTGGGACATCAGGGAAATTTTTCCCCAATAAGCATAGCACAAGCCCATCATAAAGCACGCTCACGATATGTTCAGAGCACTAGTACTGCCCTCAGTTGGCTGGCCTAACATGGTAGCCTGGCAGCCTGGTGTGTATTCATGCCAGGCAGACCTGCCAGTAAAGGGTGTCTTTTGGGGCAGAGCCAGGCAGTTTTGTTATTGCATCATGTGTCTGCCCCTTCACATATTTATACACAGAAAGTTAACGTTGCAGCATAATGCTACAATTGTTTAAATTGTTGTTTGCTTGTTTTTTTAAAACCAATTTACACTCAATACTCTTATAATTACAAAGCAAAACATGTTTTACTTCATTGCAAACATATTAAACAGAAATAAAAAGTATTCAGTGGATAACTTAGTGGAAACAAAAATGATTACAGCCTTAAGTCTTTTTGGTATGATGCAAGCAGCTTTGCACACCTAGATTTGGGTAGTTTCTGCCATTCATCTCTGCAGATTCTGTCAAGCTGCATTAGGCGGGATGGGGACCATTTGTGGGCTGCCATTTGAGGTCTCTCCAGAGATGTTCGATTGGGTTCAAGTCCGTGCTTTGACTGGGCCACTCATGGACAGAGTTGTCCTTAGCTACGTTTGCATTGTCTTGGCTGTGTTTTTGTGGTCACTCCGGTTGTAAGGTAAATCTTTGGCCCAGTGTGAGATCCTGATGCCTAAAGCCTGCTCTTATGAGATTAACCAAATGTAAGTACATTCGATATGCATTTTGGGGATTTATTGCAATGTATACAATAAGACCCTTTAAAGGACTATCTGGGAAGGGTAATTTGGTCACAACAGAATAATGGAAAAGAAACTTAGCTCTCACCTGAAAACGCATATTTTATTAAGGTAATGCTGGATCAATAAATGAAACATTGCACTACAGGGAACCTCAATAAATGGCTGTCCCTTGTAAGTGATATTAGGCTGTTAGAATAAGACCTGCCAAAAATGGGATGTTGTGGCAAAAATATGTACTGTATTCATTTAATTCAACAATACCAACACACAGCAACCCTACTTCTGAATTAATATAACTGTAATCAGTACCAGTGAAGCTCCACTGAATGCAACTGACCTCTGTAAATACGGGACTAAATATGCACAACCAAATGACGAGTCGCAACATAATTGTCCCTATCTGTCTGTAAATAAGGTTCAACTGAAATTACACAATTTTTTTAGATGGAATTTGCAAGTAGATGAGAAACAATTCTATTGTTATGTTTGCCTTGTTTTTAAAAACATTGTACTTATTAGAATTAATTTAAAGTTGGGTGCTCTGTAATCTCTTTGCAGTAATCTTGGTCAGAGGCATCCTTATAAAATATGCATGTCCAGGTGAGTGCAATATTTCACACATCTATCATAACAGGAGGAAAAGTACATATGTGTATTTTAGAGCCACTATGCAGAACAGTATATACCAAACATAGATACAAGATACCCAGTTTCAATAAGGGAACTGGATTTAAAGTCATTAGTTAAACAATTTTGGCAGCATTTGTGAGTAGCTGTATTCCTAAATCTAAATATGCCATATTCTTGTACCAATACTCATAAGGAGAGTATTTTAACTTTTTTATTTAACTTTTTCATAACTACTGGAAGTGTCAGAACTTTTTGTTTTTGTATTTTAGTTTGTACTGTAATATTTATTGTGTGTATTGTTAAGTTAAGGGAATTACCATTCAACTCAATGTTTTAATTAAATTTAATTACCACTCAACACAATGTTTTAATTACCACTCAACTCAATGGTTTAATTAAATTAAATTTAATTTGAAAGCTGTAATGAATGACTAAAACAGTACCGAATGATTACTTTAATTTGTACAATACTAATTAATTAGGATACTCATACAGGGGAGGTACATGTTCAGTGCCGGTTTTAAGGATTCAAAAAATACCAAATAGAAACAAGAGGTGGATGAAGCATAAGGCAGATTATATGGTTTTCACTCTTTTATATCACATTTTGTTTCCAGTAGGTTCAGAGGAAGAATGCAAACATGAAACTGAATCATGGAATGAACAAGATAAGTGTTCCGAAGAAAAAACTGACAATAATGAAGAACCACTTATAGTGGCTTCTACTGATGATGATTTGTATGTAGTATTTGAAACTTCCACAAAAGATACACAACAAAAACAAACATATTCTGTACAAGAACAAACAGTTCCAGAACCAACATCGGTCTCGGCAATAGAATGTGGTGCATTCTATACTGATCCAGGTACAACTGATTAAGAATACACTAAATGGTACTTGCTTTTCATTCCAATGATAGCATGTATGGGACATAAATATAATAGCTTGCATTAAGGCACAAACAATATCCTTAAGCACAATTTTTTCGAGAATCTCAAATTGGTTGGGAAACTGTAGAGTTCATGTTTACTGAGGGATGTATGAATTACTTCATTTGCTTTTCTTGCTTGCCTACTCATTTTCCCTCAAGAATCAATCAAGAAATCCATTATCGAATATCCCTTTGTATCTGCCCACACTTCTAACTATACAAACCAGACCTTGGTACACGATAAATCCCCACTACTATCTACTATGTACTGCTTTTATCCATGTATCTGTATGTTTGTTTGTTTAAAATGCTGCATTTCTACAAGACATTTGTATTGTTTTTAGGAATTCATATTCACACAGGCTGGAGATAAGGAAATAAGGGCATTGGCTAAAGAAACACTGCCTAAATAATTATTATTTTTTTTTAAAGTACAAAACACTATTTAGAATATATATCCCAAAATAAACATGCTTGATTTTAATTATTAATATTTTTTCATTTGGGTTCTGTCTACAACCAGCTTGCAAAAGTTGCAGATCTGTCCAATCACAGACTTTGCAAGGCAGTTGCTCTGGGCAGTTACCTGCCTCTTGAGTTTTGCTCCAGAGAGCTATACAAAGAGGAAGTAACAGGCCTGGTTGTATCTTTTCAGTCTATGTAACTATGTAATTGAAGGGAAGAGGAGTGTGAAAAGCTACCGAATGCTTAACTATGGACAATTGGATTGTCTGAGATTGTGAAATCTGACGATCTCAGGCAAGGAGCTGACTGGCCAGAGAGACCAGCGCAGTGCTAGAGAAGAGGTAACTAAAATACCTTTGTAAAGGGAGACGAGGGGGCAAGAACCTAAACAGTTCTATTACCACTACATTGTCAGGAATACGTTTGTTTTCCTGACACTATAGTGTTTAAGACTTTAGCATTAAAAATACAGTATGTATTTTCATAACATTAAAGTGTAAAGTGTCTCTTTAACATTAAATATAGCATTTCCTAACCTGTCTTCATTCCAGTTTTATTATATTTAGACATAGCACATTGTAATCAATGTACATGCTAACAGTATTAAGAATATGCATCTATTCTAAATGCAAATCACACATATATATTGCTTGGCCACCCTCAAGCATCAATCTAGCACCGATCTTTAACAGATGAGATGAAGCAGATATACAATTTCTAATCTTTAATACTCACCGCTTGTCTTTAATCTAAAGCTTTTCTTCAATTTATTTCCTCTCTGAGCCATCAGATATCACTTGTGTGGTGAGGGTGTATCTATGTCATGCCCACTGTGAATGATTCATTGTCAATTGTAAAAATATTGTCAATTAATGTGGTGTGATCATTGTTTCACTGTCAATATATGGGTAACTACGGTGATGTGTGTAGTCACGTGGATGCATGGAATGGTAATCCAATAGAGGTGGTATTATTATCGTTATTGGTATGATTGATTACAGCATGGTAAGGGTTAATTTGGCTGCTTTTAACTAAGAACTATGAAGTAAAGTGTATCTGGAAAGCAAATAGTTAAATGTTGTTGGTGTCCCGGAAAATACTTTAAATGTTATAGCAATTATGGTATGTTATATTTTCCTGTTTGGAAACAAAACGATAAAATTTACAAGTGGTCTCTGAGGCCCAGTAATATTTATTTCTACCTGAGCCTTGTTAGATAGGCTTTATGAGTTGAGATGCAACACAACACTTACAATATATACTGTAAGTTCAGTAAAGGGTCACTCACATGGTTATTCAATAAATGCCAGATTTTTTTCTGGATGAACAAAATTCGGGGAAAATGTTTAAATTCCGACCGCAATGACAATTCTCATATTTACTAAAGTGAAATATGGTCAGAATTTGGATGGCCTGAACAAATCTGCAACAGTTATTTGATCTGGATGTATTCAGTGTCTGGATTAAATTTAGTGGTTTTGCATCCGAATCCCATAAAAAGTATATTATTTGAAGGATTCACAAAGTACCAATATTGACAAAATTCAGAACTGAATGCATCTGGCAGGTTGCACAATCCTAAATTATTGTTCACTCTCTTTTTTTGTACTATTTGGGGCTATTACATTTTTAAAAAGTCGGGTCAATGGTGGGGAGATCTGCTTACTAAGGAGCAGACCTAATGTTCCAACCCCAGGTTATGGCCATTGGCAGCAGGTTTGGACCCTAATACCAATATACTGGAGAGGACCTAATGTCCCCGTATTGGCATTGCATAGGAGTTCTAAATAAGTGTAAAGTGAAAAGTTGGACATGCCATTGTCAACCACCGAAAATTGTCATTGTCTAAACCACCAGGTGGCTAATCCCCAATCCCGTTGCAATTCTTACTTTAATAAGATTGGGGGGAGACAAGCTGCCAAATAATTAACCATCACGGCGCCAAGGGTTTTTTAATTATTTCCCTGCTTGCTACTAGCACAGCCAGCATTAGTTTGGATTTTTTTTTAATCCATGCCTGGATTGGAAACATCCGAATTCAGATTTGAAGCATTCTGGTCCAGATTTCAGCTGTTTGGTGGTGTTTGGTCCAGCAAATGTAAAGACATAATGTTCTGTGCCAGAATTGCAAAATAAAGACAATGTTAAATAGAGTGAACAATGTCAGGATTTTGTAGTCTGAATGGCCCTGTATGCAAAGTAGAGAGGGAGGGCCAGCACTCCACTCAAAATTTGGGTGCACATCCCTAAGGTCACCTTTCAATTACCTCATAAACAGTATAAAAAACATTAAGGAGTCACACCAACTAAAATAAAGAGATTCATTCCACCTGTGTGGAACTGGCAACATTTTGACCCAACCTCGGGGTCTATATAAAGCTCTGTATGCAGCCGGATGGTTTTGCCCCGTTTGTAACAGGGCCATTTGGACTTTAGTGAATAACTTTGTTAAAGTTTTGGATGGATTTTAGATGTAATGGGGGTGAGGGGGCATTATGTATGAAATATATCTCATATGGTCCCAAAATAATTGTCTGGATTCATTGAGAAACATAGAAACATACAATGTGACAGCAAATAATAACCATTCGGCCATCTAGTGTGCCAATTTTTCTAAATTACATAGTTACATAGTTACATAGCTGAAAAGAGACTTGCGTCCATCAAGTTCAGCCTTCCTCACATATGTTTTTGCTGTTGATCCAAAAGAAGGAAAAAAAAAACAGTATGAAGCGCTTCCAATTTTGCAACAAACTAGGAAAAAATTCCTTCTTCACCCCAAAATAGCAGTCAGATGTCTCCTTGGATCAAGCAGCTATTACCCCCAAAATTTGAAATTATATACCTGTATTCTATGTTTTTGCAAGTATGTATCCAATTGCTGTTTAAACATCTGCATAGACTCTGACAAAACCACCTCTTCAGGCAAAGAATTCCATATGCTTATTGCTCTTACTGTAAAAAAAACTTTTCTTTTCCTTAGATGAAATCTCCTTTCTTCAAGCCTAAATGTGCGACCTTGTGTCCTATGTATAGCACTGTTTATGAATAGATTTCCAGATAATGGTTTGTGCTGGCCCCGAATATATTTGTATAATGTTATCATATCCCCTCTCAGGCGCCGTTTTTCCAAACTGAAGAGACTTACATTTTTTAACCTTTCTTCATAACTAAAATGCTCCATTCTTTTTATCAATTTGCACTCTGCACTTTTTCTAGTGCCATGATATCTTTCTTTAGAACAGGTGCCCAAAATTGCACAGCATATTCAAGATGTGGTCTTACCAGCGATTTATAAAGAGGCAAAATTATATTTTCATCTCGAGAATTTATGCCCCTATTTATACATGACAAAACCTTACTGGCCTTAGCAACGGCAGATTGACATTGCATATTGCTGCCTAATTTGTTGTCTATAACAATTCCCAAATCCTTCTCATGTGTGGTTATCCCTAGTACCATTTAGGGTGTAAATTGCTTGTGCATTCTTAACCCCAAAGTGCATAACTTTGCATTTCTCTACATTAAATTTAATCTGTAATTTTAGTGCCCAGTCCCCCAATCTATCCAAATCCCTCTGCAGCAAGGCAATATCCTGCTCACATTTTATTACTTTACAAAGTTTTGTGCCATCTGCAAACACTGATACATGGCTTTCAATGCCCATTTCAAGATAATTTATAAATATGTTAAATAGAAGTGGTCCCAAAACAGAACCCTGAGGGACACCACTTACCACTTTTGTCCAGCTTGAAAATGTACCATTAATGACAACTCGTTGTACTCTATCCTTAAGCCAATGTTCTACCCAAGAACAAGAATATTCATCTACACCAATTTCTTTTAGTTTGAAGACTAACCTATTGTGAGGAACCGTATCAAATGCCTTGGCAAAATCCAAGTAGATCACATCCACTGCAACACCCTGATCTATACTTCTACTTATTTCTTCGTAGAATGCAATTAGGTTAGTTTGACATGACCTATGTTTCATAAAACCATGCTGATTATTGCTAATAACACAGTTCTTCCCAATGAATTCCTGAACATTATCCCTTTATAGCCGTTCAAATAATTTCCCAGTCACAGAAGTTAAACTCACAGGTCTATAATTTCCAGGCAAGGATTTTGAACCCTTTTTAAATATAGGAACAACATCTGCCTTCCTCCAATCCTCCGGTACAATACCTGAAACAAAAGAATCTTGAAAAATTAAATACAGAGGTTAACTTATTTCCCCACTTAGCTCCTTAAGTACTCATGGGTGGATACCGTCAGAGCTTTATTTACATTAATTTTCTTTAATAGCTGTAGCACCTTGTCTCGAGGTATCCAATCATAAGTTATCTGCAAGTTTGTTGCAGCAATCATTTGCTTATCTCTTGCCATAGGACCCTCATTAATATATACTGAAGAAAAATAGTTATTTAAAATTTCTGCCTTTTCCTGGTCTTCATTGACTAACAGACCCATCTCTGTTTTCAGTGTACCTACACTTTCATTTTTTGTTTTTTTTAGAATTGATGTACTTGAAAAAAATAGTGGGTTGGTTTTGCATTCTTTGGCTATCATTTTCTCATTTTCTAGTTTAGTCACTTTAATTGCCTTTTTGCAAGTATTATTGGCTTCCTTATATCTTATATAAAATGCCTCTGATTTGTCCGATTTAAATGCTTTAAATGCCCCTTTCTTATTTTTAATCTCGTTTTACTTTACTACTAAGCCACATTGGTTTTAATTTGTTTCTTTTATATTTATTACCCAATGGTACATACAGTGATTTGTTTGAATAGTTTCCATTTTTCCTCAGTGTTTTTATCACTAAGGAGTTTATGCCAGTCGATATGTTGTAGAGCTGCCCTAATCTTATTAAAATTGGCATTTTTAAAAATTATAAGTTTTAATATACCCCACGTGCTTTTGCTTTTTTGAGTTTATTTCAAAAGTTACCATATTGTGATCACTATTTCCCAAATGCTCCCCTACTTGAATGTTAGTTAAAAGATCAACATTGTTTGTTATAACGAGATCCAGACAAGCATCCTTTCTAGTTGGTGCTTGTACCAGTTGTGACATAAAGGTATCATTTAACACATTCAAAAAACTGATTCCCCTTGCTGAATTACTAGTCCCGCTATCCCAATTTATATCTGAGTAATTAAAATCTCCAATAATTAACGTGTTACCCTGATTTGCAGCTTTCCCAATTTGCTCTAACAGCAGTTCTTTCTCATTAATATATCCATTTGGTGGTTTATAACATATCCCAACCAATAATTTATTTCCCTTTGTTTGCCCCAAGCAGATATCTACCCAGAAAGCTTCCACATTTTCCTCGTCACACTCCACATGCCTAAGATTTGACTTTAACTCTAACATGGCTAACATACAAACATACCCCACCACCCTTCTTGTTTTTCCTATCCTTCCTAAATAACGTGTACCCATTTAAGTTAACTGCTCAGTCACATGTCTCATCCCACCATGTTTCTGTTATGCCTATTATATCATATTGTTTAGTGTATGCTATTGCCTCTAGTTCCCCCATTTTGTTAAATAGGCTCCTTGCATTATTAAGCATACATTTAATACTACCATGAGTCATTTGTACTTTTTGTGAATTATCAATATTACATACCTCCTCTTTTCCGAGCTTTCCTCTCCCCATCTCCACCCCCTTTGTTCTGAGCTAAAGCCCATCTCATTTCTATACTATCTCCATTTTCTAGATTGCTTTGACCCTCCCCCCTACTACTAGTTGAAAATCTCCTAGCCATCCTATCCCCCAGCACAGCAGACCCTCTTCCGTTTAGGTGCAATCCATCACGACTATACAGGTTGTACCCAAGCACAAAATCGGCCCAGTGCTCTAAAAACCCAAAACCCTCTTTCCTGCACCACGACTTCAGCCACGCATTGACCTCTCTAATCTCCTGCTGCCTTTCTTCTGTAGCGTGCGGCACAAGTAATATTTCTGAAAATATTACCTTGGAGGTCTTTTTCTTTAGCTTACTTCCTAGATCCCTCAACTCACTCTTTAGGACCTTCCATTTTCCTCTGACTTTGTCATTGGTACCAATATTGACCATGACAGCTGGGTCATCCCAAGCCCCTCCCAATAATCCCTCCACTCTGTCGGCAACATGCCGGACCCGAGCACCCGGGAGACAGCAAACTGTCCGGTTGAGTCAATCAGAGTGGTAGATTACCCTATCTACTCTCTTAATAATAGAGTCCCCTACCACCACAACCTGTCTAGACTTCCTTACCCTCTAAATCCCACCCGTGCTAGAGGGGCTGTTCCCACGGCTGTTAGAAGGAACAGCTTCCTGCAGTACAGCTACTTCTGAGCTAATGATTCCAACATCTTCACTCAAACGGGCAAATCTGTTAGGCTGCACTAGATCAGGACTAGCTAAACCTTTCCTCTTCCCTCCCCCTCTGCTTCCTCGCCCCACTGTTACCCAGCTACATGCCTGTTCTCCAACTGTCTCATCTCCTCCCACTCCAGTACCTGCACCCACAAAACTCTGCTCCGTGAGCAGCAGACTCCTCTCAAGATTATCAATCTCCCTCAGTGTTGCAATTTGCCTCTCCAGATGTCCAATCCGAGCTTCCAGAAAAGTCACTTGCTCACACCCACCACAGAGGTATTGACCCTGGACAGATTTATCCAGGCATGCATACATGCCTAAATAATCTCATTAGTCACTGGCCTTATCTTATAGCTAGGATAACCTTATGAATATCCCATGCATGCTCAAACGCCTTCACTGTGTTAACCTCTACCACTTCAGCTGGTAGGCTATTCCATGCATCCACTACCCTCTCAGTAAAGTAATACTTCCTGATATTATTTTTAAACCTTTGCCCCTCCAATTTAAGACTATGTCCTCTTGCTGTGGTAGTTTTTCTTATTTTAAATATACCGTAGTCTCCTCCTTTACTATGTTGATTCCCTTTAATCAAATGTATTTATATATCCCCCCGTCTCGTCTTTCCTCCAAGCTATACATGCTACTTTCCTTGTACATTTTATCCTGCAATCATGAAACAGTTTAGTAGCACTTCTCTGAACTCTCTCCAAAGTATCAATATCCTTTTGGAGATACAATCTCCAGTAATGCGTACAATATACCAAGTGAGGTCTCACCAGTGTTCTGTACAATGCATGAGCACTTCCCTCTTTCTACTGCTAATACATCTTTCTATACAACCAAGCATTCTGTTAGAATTTCCTGCTGCTCTATTACATTGTCTGCCTACCTTTTAAGTCATCTGAAATAATTACCCCTAAATCCCTTTCCTCAGACATAGAGGTTAGGACTTTATCAAATATTTATACTCTATGTATCCACATTAAATCTCAGCTGCCACAGCTCTGACCATTTTTCTAGTTTACCTAAATCATTTGCCATTTGGCTTATCCCTCATGATCTAGCTTAGGTACAAAGGGATCAGAACAGGGCTGGATTAACATAGGGGCCGATGGACCTGCAGCTCCAGGCCCATGCCCATGAAATAGGCCCATTGATTATTGATATATCTATATATTTTTTTACTACTCTTCACATACTCTTGCTTAAGTTTGGAAACTTAAGATGGATGTAGGGGAACAAAACTTTTGTGCACTGACTGACAATAAATTTAGTTAAGACAAAGCTGACTCCATTCACAGCAGAGTGCCAAACCCGGAAGTGTTACCGCATGACAGGACACCCCACCTACGGAGCACTCTCCGGGTGCTATTACCTCAGTTTTTGAGGGTATCTTCTGTGAAAGGCAGTAATCAACTTATTTGCATTTATTTCAGAGGCTTTCTCCCAAGTGTTATCTTCTTCTCCATAACCCTTCCATCTAATAAGGTATTGTAAGTTACCTCTATGAAGTCTGGAGTCAAGAATTCTCTCTATTTCATATTCCAATTCACCCTGTACTTCAATGGGGTCAGGCTTTGACAATTGTTCCCTATGGAAGGGATTTGGGAGAAAAGACTTGAGAAGGGAAACATGAAAAACAGGATGAAGTTTAAGTGAAGGAGGAAGTTTCAATTTCACAGCATTTTCATTAATAATGGATTCAATTTGAAAAGGTCCAAGGAAAAGAGGACTAAGTTTCTTAGAAGGACGGTTAGTAGAAATATTTTTTGATGATAACCAAACAGTATCACCAATTTTATATTTAGGAAGAGCTCTCCTTTTAACATCATAATTCCTTTCAAGATTTTTCTTTAATTGATCAAACAATGAGGACATTTCCATGTCTTGAATAGAAACCATCAGATTAGAAGTTGCCTTGGATCTTTGACAAACTGGACATGATTTTACATAAGTTTCAATGGTTTTGTCTTGACGAGGCCACCAATATTGTCTAGTAGAGAGTTCAATTGTCTTTTTTATCCCGGGATGTCCAGCAAGGGGAGAATCGTGAATTAATTTTAAAAGGTTATATCGGAGTTTTGGAGGAATATAAATTCTGTTTTGGAAATAAAAGATTCCATCTTTTTTGAACAATTTAGGAGTAGAAGGTAGTTCAAGTTCTTTGAGAGATAATTGTTTCAGTTCATCCAATATAGTAGTTGTAAGTCCAATTATTTTATTGTTTGATAACATTGAGAAAGTTTTCTCTTTTGAAGAAGGATCAACAGGAATTCTGGAAAGAGCATCAGCTTTTTTGTTATGAGATCCATCAGAAAAATCTGAATATGGTTCTGGTAGAGTTTCGTGACTTAATTGAAATATAGGAATTTGAGGGAGAGAATTTTCCTTACAATACTCAGAGTCCATGGTGAGAGAAAATGGAGCCCAACGAATGAAGGGATTATGCATTTGTAACCAATTGATTCCTAAGATGATTGGAAAAAGGGGGGATTTTATAATATCAATAACAAGAAATTCTGAATGGTTATTATTGATAGTGGTCAAAACAGAAATAGTTTCATTTTTTATGGGACCAGAGGGGATTAAAGATCCATCAATAACTCTGATGGAGACAAAAGATGCTTTTTTCAGACAAGGAATTTTATTGGCTTCAACAAATGAAGAATCTATGAATATCCCCGTAGCACCAGAATCAATAATGGCCTCAGTCTTGATTCTTTTTTTGTCCCACTGTAAAATTAAAGGTACAGCAAACTGATGAGAGGAGGAAGAGGGTAGTGTTTTTAGAATTGAGATATTAATTTTAGGTTTACCTCCCTTAGAGTGTTTTAGAAGAATACATTCTTGTAAGAGATGTTCTTTAGAGGCACAGTACATACAAAGATTTAAGTCTCTCCTCCTTCTTTTTTCTTCCATAGACAAAGGTCCCCTAGTTGATCCAACTTCCATAGGTTCACTGGGTTGCAAGGGTTTATTAGGCATTAGCAAAGGTGGATTGGGTTTTTTCCAAAATGAATTAGAGAGAGCCTTTTCAGCTTTTCGTTCTCTGATTCTTCTATCTATACTAATAGAGAGTTGAATTAATGTATCAAGCGTTGGGGGAAGAGTGGTTCTAGATAGTTCATCTTTAACTGTTTAAGATAATCCTAAATGGAACTGATTACGTAGAGCTATATCATTCCATTGGGTTTCTGAAGCCCATCTTTTGAACTCAGCTATATAATCCACCACTGGACGATTTCTTTGTTGTAATAATCTAATAGTAAGATCAGCAGTAGCTTGTTTATTAGGGTCCTCATAAAGGAATGACATTGCTTCAATAAAATTATCTAAAGAATCCAAAATAGGATCTTCATTTTCCAGAAATGAATGTGCCCAGGACATAGGTTCACCCCTTAAGTAGGAAATTATTGAGACCTTAATCCTGTCTGTGGGGTAAGCCCAGGGTTTGAGAGTAAACAATAATTTGCATGAATTCAAAAATTCTTTATATTTAGAGCGATCTCCCCAAAAAATTTCGGGATTGCAGATAGCAGGGTCACTTGAATGTGTAACTTTATTTTGCATTTCTCTAATATAAGAAAGAAGTCTCTCATTAGCAATTTGCAAATCCTGCATGCCTTGTGTGAGCATTTCAACCCTGTGGGTTAAAGAGGTAATTTGGGAATTCACTTCTGCTGGTTCCATTTTTTGGTGCTTGGTGATTCTGTTACGCTACTTGGGTGATTTGGATTGGAACTCAACTGCAGCTTGTAAAACTCCCTAATTACAATAGTGAAGAAATGGATAATCTTTAAACTATCAATACTGTAGGTTTAAGAAAAGAGAGAATTGCTGGTAACTTGATTCCAACAAAGTTTTAATAAGTGTTAAACTTAAAAGAATTGCATTTAGGCAATAATCCAAGAAGTGCAAGTAATCAACAAGACAAAGTTCATTAATAAGTATTTCCTCAGAGATGCATTAAGTAACATTCTTTAGGTTAATGAGAATAATCTTCAATAGTAACTTTAAGCAAGTGGATGAGAATATTTGCAAAGCAGAAACAGTTCATAGTTAATAAGCACGATGGGAGTTGTCCTCCATATAATTAGTAGCTTGAAGCACTGAGTGTATTTGCAAAGCAAGAAACAGTTCATTGTGAATAAGCATGATGGGAGTTGTCCTCCATATAATTAGTAGCTTGAAGCAGTGAAGATTTAAGTAAGCAAGCATTAGTTCATTATTAAATGATATTGTAGACAAATAGCTGAAAGATATACTTAAGGTTAATGTGAGTAGTCCACCAATAGTTCAGAGGTATGGTCCACTTGTAAAGTAAGTGAGTTTCTGTTCTCCAGTAATCCTCTATGGCATGAAGTATACTATTCTTAGTCCAGAAGGCTAGGACGACATCAGAGCTTGTAGAGCCGGCGTGTCCCAGGAGCCGGCGTGCATACTCGGAAGTAGGACCCACATTGCCAGAGCCTGAGAGGTAAGTCTGGCGGAAGTAGCTCCCAGTAGCTCCCAGTATCACCAAGCACCCTCTCTCTGGCGCGGTCTCCCTAAATACCGCCAGAGCCGTGTCAGAGTGGGGCCGGGTCTGGCTCCGCACAGCGGAGTGCCGAACCTGGAAGTGTTACGGCATGACAATTCCTGCAACCTGCTCAGATTGCTTACCTCGCACCTTTAACCAGAAATATTTATGTCATATCTGCTAAAAACCTACAGAACTTGTAATCCTTTTGAGAGCAAATCATATTTGTAGTGGATTTCTGTTCTCCTTACCAAAAGTTATTTTGGTGGAGAAGTACTGCTACTTTGCTAGTACAGTGAGTATTAGAGATTTTTGTTCATTTTCTCTTTTAACTTAGACATACATAATGGGAAATACACTCGGAAAAAAAATATTGCAATTGGAGTCCTACTGAACTGGAAATGTATAACACACATTTGAATCTGTCTTCTTATAGAAGGCTTATAGAAGGATAATCCTTTACTCTAGTACAGTGCAGTACTGTTTTCAAAGGGGTAAGTTCCAGTAGGACATTACACCCTCTGGTACTGTATGAATGTATGTGCACATGCAATGGGTCAGAAAATTGTCTGATAACCTAGTCCTAAAAGGACAAAAGAAACCAAATCTTTTCATTATATCAATTACCTACACACATTCTGCACACAAGTTGAGAAAATAAGCATTAAATGCCCTATGTCCTATTGGGAGGTAACTGTGATTTTTAAATAAATGCGATTGAAACGTATAAAATATTTATAAAAAATATAAAAATGTCAAATAAAAAAATCACATTTATTAAAATTAATGCCAGAAGGCAGTTTAGTATGAACTTCACTGTGCTTAACTATATAAATTGTGCTTTTCAGTATAGAAATAGTATCATTTCTTATAACAGATAGCCCAGATAATGGTGATAATGAAAACTTCTCATGGAATGAAGTCTCCATCTATCCCCAAGAAGGAAATAAAGCTGAATATGATGATGACACAGTTATATTTGCTAATTCTGAAGATGATGTGTACATAGTATTCCAGACTTCCATCAAAGATAAAACAAGAGTTCAACCATCTTTCAGTGCTCAACACTCCACGAGTCCAGTACCACCATGTAACTCAGGACAAGAACATGGAGTATCGTACAACAATCAAGGTACCATATCTTGCTTGTTTGGTGCTGCTTATTTAGTGTTGTTTGTGAAGGTCAAACTAAAAAATAAAATATCCCCCAAAAATATGCCAGCCCTCAAAGCAAATGATGACCGATAAAAAAAAAAAAACGTGGCAGCTAATGTAATTGAATAGTAAACAGGTAAAGTCAATTGTTAAGCAATTTGATCAGTTTCATCTAGACAGGTTAAGACTTAAAGGAGTTCTCTAATCACCATACTACTACAGAGCAATGCAGCCCCATGGCACAATTTCAAAAGTATATTCAAACTGTTTGACTGGTGTGCCACTAACCATGGGTGTCACAGGTGCCAATTGTCAAGTCCCTCATTAGCGATATAGCTAATGTAAGAGTACCCTTTTCAATGTTTGGACGTAAGCCATTGAATTTCTTGTCAGTGAACATTCTCAACCAGTACTTCCTGTCCAAATTTGTGGAATGGGAACTTCAACTTTAGTGATGTCTCTAATGAAGGGACAGAAAGCATGTTCCCAGGAGAGCTACAGTTAGTGTCTAATCATTAGAAAGTAGATTGTCACATAAATGTGGGACAGCAATAGAGGACATTTCTGATTGCCGTTCTAGATCAGCTTCAGAGGGAAGTGGTTACTAATGGTAACAGATCCTTTATACTCCAACTGAGTAAATCCGTCCAGTGTCTCCCAAAATCCAAGTAGAATAGAAGGTGTAGTGAAGTATAGCTCCCAATCCCCCAAACATGAGCCAAAACTTCATGAAGGGGTAAAACGATCTGTTTAATGACGGCCACAGCTTAGCCTTTTATGCAGGACCTCCAGCAAGGTATACTCCCACAGGGACCTTGTGGAGGACTGAAACACAAGTTACAGTAACCAATCATTATTCAGTACAACATAAATTACTCGCACCAATCATTATTCAGTACAACATAAAACACTCGCACATAAACATTGAAATCCGTCCTATCTATCCCGGAGATAATTGGGTTAAGTGTCTGTAGTAAACTCAATTATGTCCAGGTAGAGAAAATATTTTCATTTTACAACTGTAACAAAATACATTAAATCGATAACTTATATTTTACCGAACGGAACCCCTGCATTCGACATATCCCCAGATAGCTTGGGTCTGAGTGCTCAATATAGCTGAACAGCACTCAGATCTTACGAACACAGTCAAATCGCCATGGAGCTAAAGAGTCTTTCACCGACTGTTCGTTAGAAAACTGTTCAGAAAATAGCTCCACGGATTTAACTATCTTGGGTCGGTCTCGTTCAGGAGTTAGAATGTACCGAACGGCACTGTGTTTGTGTAAATGGAGACGAAGGGATGGAAGGTTGGAAGTCCCTGCGGTGTTCGTGAGAAATAGTGGCCGAAAATGGTTTCATGCCGTCGACGACCAAACACAGCTAGGCGTTCGTCAGTTGAAGAAGGCCGCCGTCACGTGTTTGCTCATACGAACAGTGACCACCCAGCCGTTCGTCAAATAGTTGTAGTTAACCACAGCTTCTGGATGGTTAATAAGCGGCACACTCCCCTTGTGTGTGGTCTGCCTGTTGGGTATTTTGTTCAGTTTTATTAGAAGGGAATGTAATAGTGCCAAATGCACGAACAGCATGCAAAATCAGGAGTCCTGGTATTCCCACAACAGGGGTTTTGTCACATTAAGTATTCATAACAATACAGAATTGTAAACCAAATATATTTAATGTATTTCTTAACCTTTTGGCACCCAAAGGTTTAAACTACAGAAACTGCCATAAGGGTTACAGAACATCACCTGTTTCACTGACTTATAGGAGGAATCAATTTTGATCAGGGGACTGGGTGTCAATTTTCTGTTACACATAATATAGCCAAGTGGATAGTCGTTGCCTGACACATTAAGTCTTACATTACAACTTATGACTACAATTGTGCTACCTATAAGCAATATATTTGATCTGCAAAGTCCAGTGATATATAAGTGTTTTTTGACAATAGTGTTTCTTACATTAAAATAGCTTAAAGATTTGTCATATAGTACATACAAATATCATAGCAGATATGTGTTTTTAACAGATTACACAGAAGAAATTGATAAAAACCTGCCATGGAATAAAGACATGGAATACCCTGAGGAAGGAAACCGAAATGAAGATGATTTTGAGCCACATATTGTTGCTACTACAGAAGATGATGTCTACATAGCATTCCAGACTTCTATTAAAGATAAGCCGAAAGGTCAAGGATATGTACCTGCTTTACAACCCATAGGTCCAGAACCACCCTTTAACCAAGAATGGGAAAGTGGAGAATCCAACATTGATAATGGTAAATGTATATGTAATTTTGGTGAGAGAAAAAACAGTTTTGTACAGCTCTTTTGGCTTGATAGTGACTACAACTCAATTGCTGTACTGGGATCCAATCTATTAAAAGTAAAATATGTAGTGTTACTCCTGGATTACTCATGAAGAACATAATATACAACATGAGTTTTCATTATTAGTTATACCTTTTTATCTTTTTCATATATGGAAACTGTTCTTCAAGTCTTCTTTGACTTCATGTTAACTTGGTGGCTAGGTCTAGTTGGTGGTGTCGTGGCAGGAATAGAGGGTGATGGGTCCTGGAGGATAGTTTCTCCCTTTATACTCTGCTACTCTGGGAGTTATTCTACATTTGTGAAAACATTTAGATGGCACCTGTTAGATCACACTAAATCAAGAAAATGATTGGTAGACATCCTCATTTTTCAATTAATTGAACAATAATTAACAGGAAAATAAATGTTGTCACTCTACCCAGTATATAATTTCCTGTCTTTTTCTATAAGTAATTGTGCCTATTTTTAGTACACACAATGCTAAGTACGAATATTAAGCATTTGAAATGCATCATGGAGTCTAACTAATTTGTCTCTGTTGAGGATGCTACAGTTTAAAAATGTGTACTCATTACGCATCTGTCAAACATGATTAAGAGCACATAATACTATTTGAGAGAGTCCAACCTGATGGCCCATCAGATTTTTTGATACTTCATCTGTAACCAACATAATTGTTTAGATCCATAAGGCCTAATAAAAATAAACTTAAGCAATGTTGAATTTGAGTCACACTTTTAGGATACAAGAAGTTAAATGCCAAATTTAGGAAGGACATTAATCTTATGAGATTAAGCTACGCAATCATTTCTCTTCTATGAGACGTCTGTCATTTTCTATAGTTAATAAATTTAATAACTAGAGCTTCATAAACAAAAGTGATTCAACTCCTAAATGGCAGAGTATTAAACAAGGAGACTGCAGAGGCATGATTTATACACCAAAACTGCTTCATAATGCTAACGTTGTTTTGGTGACTATAGTGTCCCTTTAACTTAGGGAACCTTCTTGTGTATCTTTTTTGTTTTCAGCCTCCATTACTTTACTCTACATATATGGAATTGTTCATACTTATTAGCTCAGATTATTCAACATATTTGTTGTGCCATTTTATGAACTACAGTTTTTAAAACATAATTATAAAATAGCACCTATTTTTCTTCAGTCATGTAGATATATTGTGTAATTATGTCAGACTGCTGTTGACATTTTGTAAGCAATGTAATTTTACTTGCCTGAATAATAAATAAAATTTCAAAAACTTCCGTTTGTGTAATATGGCTATTCTTCCAAACTGCCAACATGACTCACTAACACCTGAGGATATAGTTACCAGGGCAGAGGTGTCTTCAGATAAGAAAATTGTATTTAGTTACAATACTTATATAATAACTAAAAAATGAATATGTTTGTTTGTTACAGCTGTAGGAAGAGTAGACAGCAGCCTTCAAGACACATACTGGGATGAGGCCAGTTATAGCTCCACTTATGATGAAGAAGACCCTTACAGCTTTGCTTATGAGGATGATGACAACTTGTATATGGAGTTTCCCTTTGAAACCACCGATGCAGAATCAGGTGGAGGAAGTAAATCCTCTTTTGTCCACCGAGCTCCTGCTCCTGCTCCTCGCCATGGAGTGCCACCCACAGACAGCCATGCATCCTACATCTCCCAAGGTAAAAATTACTTTCAACAAAAGCCTAAACCACTGCATGAAAAGTATCAATATGACCAACACAGAAATATTTTAAGGTAAAAAAAAATACACTGGGAAGCATTTTAGGTTTGGATTTTAAATTCTATATAGACCATATTGACACTAAGTTTACTATTTTTTCTGAACTAAGACTCTAGGGGACATATGTGCAAATACCAAGTTCTCTTTTCTATCCAGTATCAGTGAGTGACATCTGTTGATCAGGAGGTAAGAACTATTTATTATAATAATCCTTAGGCTGTAAAACATATGAATGAAAAAAATAGTTATTATCCTTTTAAGTGTCATAAAAATGATAGTTCTGTAAAATGCTTGTAGCATCAAATATAAAAACTGCGAAACACGGTGGCTTCACTACTAACTGAACCAGTTAATAGTCGAAAATGTGACGTAAGAGCAAAGCTGTATTTACATCTTAGGTGGCTGTAGATGCTGGGTTCTTAGGCATCCGGACATCCCATCCCAATATCCACTTTTTTGTTGCTTGTGCCATGATGTGAAAGTCACACAAGAGAGCCAGTGGTACATATCTCACTCTCTCCCTGTAACAAAATTAAAAAAAGTATATCAAAATAAATTTAAAAAACGCACAAGCTTGGTGCTGTTAGTACAGTCAGGAACTTGTAGCCTACTCCACCTACTGGTATGTCTGAGTATGAAATAATTGGCACAAATAAACTTAATATGTTGCTTTAGGGTTTGTTTACATTCTAGAGTGTCTGAGATACTTTTTTACTTCTCTTGAACTATTATAGACGAAGCCATCTACTATCATATCAGGTTGGTAACACCTATAGTATACCTCCCAATGTTTCAAACAGACAAAGAAGGAGCCTTTCATTGGGGAGTGGCTGTTCTGAGACATTTAAGCTAACTTACTAATAACTATTTATTGAACTAAAAGGTAATTTGGAACAAAAACAATGTGTCTTGTCTACAGACTAATTTCTAAACATGAGTATTATTGCTGTGGATCTATTATATATATATATATATATTGCATATTGTACTTCCCCCCCAATATGTATATTAATTAAATTTTACCCTAACATGCACAGCATGGATTTACAAATCAATTGCTGTCATGACTGCCATAGATATCCATGTTTCACAAAATAGATCACACAGGAAAAGCAGCAAGAGACTTCCATTTCATCTCTGATGCTTTTTGTTGTCTCAGTTTTTTTACGATGAAACCTTATATTCCATACAATATCTAGTGTGACAGCAATAATCAGGGGGCATATCAGCTCTATCTGGTTACCAGTCTGTCTATTTTTTCTTTCAATGTTTTAATCACCTAGCTTTCTCTACCTGGTCACATGAAAACAGTATTATTTGGATGCTTAAATATGTAGCATTGTGAAAAAGTAATTTATATTATTCACTTCTTTACATGGCTATCCAGTAAACCCATTCAATTTCAAATTGTTTATACATAACATAAATTCACTTTTTCTTGGTTTTGCAAATTCACATTTTGCCCCCAAACCCCAGTTATTTTCCACTTTGTTTTCCTTTGCTCCAGCATTGACCTGCAAAAAAAACAAAAGACAGAAAAACCTCTTCACCAGGGCTTCACGAAGCAGAGCGGTCAGCCAAAATGTGAGGCTTTTATGGCAAATTCCTACACCTTCATGGTGCTCAGACAATGTGGAAGTTTCACTTGATAGAAAACATATTTGTTTATTCAATTGTAATAAAATTACATTTTAAAAATAAAATCGGACGGCGGAGCCTGACCGGGAACCAAGATGGCCGCATAGAGTGAAAGCTCCCGCGAAAGGGCCCTTAATACAGCTACTTACAAAGTTAAAATCGGTGCATGGACCTCCCAGAACACCCTCCTGCGTGTCGGGACCCCAACAGCCGCCTGCCATCATGGGAGGTAACCACATAAAATGTGACCTACCGCCATCGGTAGCGTCTCTACTCAGGCCCCCACGAGGCCCGGCGCCATCTTCCTCATGGAAGACTCAGCCTCTGACTCAGAGCACAGTGAGGCTGCAGCTTCAATGCCATTGACTAAACGGGACCTCCATCTCTTATTACGCGAGGAGGGGGAACCAAGATGGATGCCCAAACTCTGATTACCTTCCCCCAAAAATAAGGGGGGGGACCATTCACGAGCATCCTCAAGCTTGCCCCCCCTTTAGGACACGGGCCATTTTTACACCACACTCTCTTATGGCATCACAGCTGATAAAATGTACTGGTGGGGGCGAGGCAACAGGAGGTGAGGGGAGATGGACAGGCAGGTCACTGGACAGGGGGAGAATCTATACAGCAGCGGAGGGGGGAGGGGATATTTAAACTTAAACTGAAAATATTCTCAAGGTGGGGGGGAGGGATAAGGGGAAGGAGGGAAGAAAAAAAGAACGGGGGAATAAATAAAAAAGAAAATAATAATTATATAAAAAAGTATGTGAGTATGTATGGGTCGGTAAATATGTGTATATCTATATATGTATGTGTATAGCAAGAAATGTACCCACACAGACCCCACGAAACAACTAAACAATTACTACATACATACTCCAAACTTGAAGGTTATGCAGGGACCCATATATTCTACCCTGACCTTCCTTCAGCACCAACTAGGATAGCCCTGACCAAGCCTCCCCCATCTATGTGCACCAACTAAGACCTACACACGCCCAGAGCGGGATGCACCTTATAGCCACCCCACACTATGTCCCACAACATCAGGGACAAGAGTTTCATGAAACAACGAAAACAGGATGAACCCGCACACCCCAACCCACTTAGTCTAGCACAAGTCCAAAGACCAGGCAGTTATTGCTATTTGTTTTTTCTCTGTGATGTTTTATAGTGGTCTCATCAGATTGCTACATGAAAGACCCTCTCGTTGGGGGGTCGGGGGACTGCACATTGCTTGGGTATCGGTCTTTCTGCTCCCCCACGCTGCTACAACACACCCACCCATACTACAATGCCTACTAATCTAACATGCATCTTAATCAGCTGCAAACGGTTTAATAACCCCTCAAAACAACATAAACTCATGCGTTGGCCAACCGTACCAAAGCAGACTTTATCCTCCTGCAGGAGACACACTACTCGGACGCACGCCCCTTCCCTCTCCTGAGCCGACACTTTAAGGCCTGCCACCTAGCCAATTCAAACTCAGGCAAACACAATGGAGTAGCAACCCTGTTAAGGAAATCATTCCCCTTCAAGCCACCAACACACATAAAGACCCCCACGGACATTTCCTTATGATAGCAGGAACAATTGGCCCATCCAAATACATGATCGCGTCCATCTACGCCCCTACAATCCCAGTCCCAGAATAGTGGATCACTTTACAAACCCATATCAGCCTTCACCCCAACTGCTGCAAAATCATTGGAGGGGCTTTAACACTACATATACCCCAACGATAGATAGACTAACACATCTGTGGTGAAACCGACCTCACCACTAGGCATTGGAGAAGACTGATTGCCAGCCTCCTGCCATGTGATTATGGTCCCTGGAAGATCTGGCCCTTTAAATACAGTATCTGGGCATATTGTATTTCATTGTGCTGTTTCTGGCCCTTTAAGTACTTTGGGAAGGGACATGCAGTTTTGTCATGGCACTTCGGATGCAGCCGAAGTGCCGAAGTAGTCGAAGTGGCCACCATTAGAAAACTGAACACGTGGTGGCGGCCATTTTGATTCATTTGAATGCAGTCAGCGGTGTGTGCCGTCAAACTCATAGAACTAAAATCAGCTACAGAACGGCACGAACACCGCTGAAGTTTTACCTTCCCTGGAACTAATGCATTCGACAGTTCATTCAACAGTTCAATCGACAATTCGAATGGTTGTCGTTCATCGGTTTGAACTGACTTTAACATGGGAAATAGACTGGCCGCACAGCCTGATCCTCTGGAACTGTTTTGGGCATGAAAATGTGCTTGCGGTCGGTCAAAGGTGACATATCTATCTCCCGAACGGCTGAACAGATTCGAATGATTTTTGGGTATGTTTGTATTTGAAATTTGCTGATTAATAATATTACTTTTATTAATATTGGATGTATTGTTTTAGAGTTATGAAAGTTGGGTAAAAAGTATGTTTTAAACTGTACGGCTAATTGTGTTACCTCTCAGGCTAAGGGGAGGAGATGTGTGGGATGTAACCAGTGTGTGAAAGGGTAATTCATAATTGTCTGTGGGCGTCTCCCTTGCATGGGAGAATTGCATAAAAGCAGAGTGTGTCATTAAAAACCTCAGTTCTACTTCACCCTCAATTTGGAGTGTCGTCTTTTATTGGGGGAATCTGCTACAAGGGATTGCTATACTAGTCATACTCTCTTGCTAAAATCACTACTAAGCTCTTGTAAGAGCTTGTTCCTGTTTTGCCCTCTGAAGGAGTCTACGGTGGTTATGGTGTCGGCTGGAGTGTTTGGAGCCCTCAGGAAGTGCTAGGAGCATCCTTCAATGGAGGTACTCAGTCGGGGTCCAGGTGATCTGTTACAACATCCATCCCAGGCCAAAGCAAAAACCCAACCCTCCAGATCGGACAAACTCATGGCAGACTTTATATCCCAGACCAAGTTGATAGAAATATGGAGAATACACCATCCAACAACGAAGGATTATATATTCTACTCACATGATATTCCTGCATAGATTATTTCCTTATCTTCCTATCTCTCCTCCCGCTCACAACAGCCACCTCAATCGGCAACATAACGTGGTCTGACCATGCTGACATCTCAGTGACATTCCAACTGCCACAAATCTCCAGACCAGGGTCCTGGAGGCTAAACCCCATTTTACTCCATGACCCACAAACAATAAATCAAGACTGAACTCACAAACTACTTCACTACAAACAAAGACTCAGTACAATCCCAGCCAGTCCTATGGGCAGCCCACAAGGCAGTAACCAGAGGCTCCCTCATCAGCATAGCCACTGCACACACAAAAAAAATTCCTCGCACACATAGAAACCATTCTCACAACAATCAAGAACCTCGAAAGCAAACACAAACAAACCCCAACTCCTGACCTCACAACACAACTCCAACACCAGAGACAAGCCCTCAAGAATGCAATGGCAGCTGACTCAACAAAAGCCCTAAAATGGACTAAACAAATGTTCTATGAAAAATCCAACAAAGTCGATACACTCCTTGCAAGTAGGCTACGCAAGCGCACCCAAGCTAAACACATAACCAACATCCGCACCCCATCGGGACACACCATAGACATACCCACAAGAATCGCAGAGACATTTCAAAAATACTTCTCTGACTTATTTGACCAATCCCCCTAGCACAGACAACAAAATACCAACCTACAAGATCGCATACACTCTTTCCTAGAAAAAACACAACTACCCACTCTTCCCAAAAAATGCAATCACACAACTCTCTATAGAAATCTCTGAATGGGAGGTGGCTGCCGCAATAGTTACTACAAAACCCAACAAGAGTCCAGGTCCAGATTGATACTCAGGTATTTACTACAAGACATTCCAAGATGTCCTCCTTCCCCTCCTAGGACAGCTATACAACTCCCTACTATGGGGGGGATCCACTCCCCAAAGAAATGTTACAGGCAAACATATGCCTTCTACCCAAGCCCAATAAACCCTTCATGGACCCAGGCCACTATAGACCCATCTCCCTACTAAATGTAGACGTGAAAATATTCACCAAGATACTCGCCAACCGACTCCTGCCATACCTCACCAAACTGGTCCACCCAGAGCAGGTGGGATTTATTCCCTCACATCAAGCCAGCAACAACACCAGAAGGATACTGGACCTGATCTGGGTGTCTAACCGCCGCTCTATCCCAACCCTACTCCTATCCCTCAATGCAGAGAAGGCATATGACAAATTACTCTGGCCATTCATTTTTGCTAACATGTAGAAGTTTAGATTCCCTAAACCTTTTCTAGATGCTCTGCAAACAATCTACTCCAACCCCACTGCCATCCTCCTAATACCTAACACGAATCCACCTTCCTTCTCCATATATAAGGGAATGAGACAGGGATGTCCACTATCCCCCATCCTCTTTGCCCTCTCTCTTGAACCCTTGCTGCACCTCATTCGCTCCACACAATCGATCACAGGCATCACAGCACGCACACAAATATATAAAGTGGCAGCATATGCTGATGACTTCCTTCTGATGCTCACGAACCCACTAAACACCCTCCCGCTGCTTCTGAAGCTACTAGACGAATATTCTGAGGTTTCAGGATATAGGCTAAACCTAGACAAAACCAAAGCACTGGCGCTCAATATAACTACAGGGTATAAAAACATACTACAAAATACATATGCCTTCAGATACAACACCTCTCACATGTAGGAATTACATAGCCAGTAGAACTACACCGCACTTACGCCTTAAACTTTACCCCGATGCTACAATGAACCACAGAAGACCTTCACAGCTAGAGGGACTTGTCTTTGTCATGGCTAGGATGCCTAACCTCGGTAAAGATGAATCTACTGCCATGCTTTCTCTACCTCTTTCAAACCTTCCCCATCCCAATTCCTACCTCGGACGTCAAGTATCTACAAACACAAATAGATAAATTCAAATGGTCAAACAAATGACCCAGAGTGAAGCGAACAACAATTTACATCCCTAACAGAACAGAAGTACCCCACTTCCAGCACTATTACCATGCAACACAACTCACCCACATACAAAGTCTACACTCCCCAATCAGGGTCAAACGCTGGGTAGAACCTTTTTGGCTTTGATTTCCCATCCCTTTACCTTTGGGTGCCCTGAAAATCCTGTCTCACACTACCATCCATACCTCCACCACTAACCAACTCCATAAGCATATGGGACAAACTCACCAGAAAGTTCGCTCTCATCAATGATCCAACGCCAAGCATGTATCCTAAAGATTTTGAGCATTATGAATATAATGATCTCTACAGGCTCTACCACTTCTTTGCTAAAGGGAAATTACTCCCAACACAATGACCTACCGCAACAACACTCAACATACAACACACAACTTTTTTATGAGTTAAATACCTATTGAATCAACAATAGTAGCTGCAGGACTCAATGTGAATGATAGAAATGTTGTATATTGGCAACAATGTGTAGAAATATGTATCAGCTCGTTATTACTTTACTCCCCATATGAGGGCAAGAAGAAAAAACGATAACTGTTTTTTTCTTCTTGCCCTCATATGGGGAGTAAAGTAATAACGAGCTGATACATATTTCTACACATTGTTACCAATATACAACATTTCTATCATTCACACTGAGTCCTGCAGCTACTATTGTCGATTCAATAGGTATTTAGCTCATATATCCTTTAACCGTAGGTGGCAGTCATTTCTTGCAGTGACATAGTGTTTTTAGTAACCATTTTTCAGGTCTCATTGCACTACCTTTATAGCTATACACCAGGGTATACTGGTGCTTACCTATTAGGTTTTTTATCTGTTTTCTTTACACAACTTTTTTAGTTACATACAGATAAAAAGCTTCCTAGAACTCCCAGAAAACACAACTGCAGCCACCACCAAACTCACGACCTTCACACGAGTATGCATACACAAGCCAACCCATAAAGGACAGATCCCCGACAATTACTTACTCCTAATTACTAACCTACCCTCAGGAGCATTGGCCTATGTGTCGGCTTGGGAGAGGGACCTGGGACCCCTGGAAGATCCGACAGACTGGCAAGACATTTGGAAGGCCACTGCTTCCATATCCATATGTGTAAACCACAAGGAGCAGGCCTACAAAACCATGCTAAGATGGTACCTAACCTAGCCTACCTTTTTGCTCTCTGTCACTTGGGACTTTTACACCCCATGCACTTGACCCCACGACTGAGTCAGGCCCAACAAAACAGGCAGTGGAGGGAAGCCCAAGCACTTGCTGAGGGCAAGCACAAGGAGAGAAACACTCTTAGGCAAAAACACTGCAGTCCCTAATCCAGGTCACGGAACTAAGTCCACAAAGGAGTCTGGACCAGCAACCCATTCATAAGCCTAACACAAAAGACCACTCCCTGGCCCACTTACGCGACTTACAAGAGGCTGACCTTCACCATATCCACACGCACAATTTAGACCCCAAATTGTGGCTCCCATAGCAACAAGTTGGACCACGACACCGTGTCTGAGACCAATGGTTACAATTGTTTATGTTACTGTATAATTTTGGTTTTATTATATTTTGTATATACGATATGTTTTGAATGACATTGACCTCAGAACAGCAAAACAGCCAAACAACCTCACCACTTGATGGAAACCCCATACGCAGACCACCAAACACAGACCATAGGTTAGTGAGACATATCAACCTACTGTATGACCACGGTACCCTGACAACAAACCATGTAATTGACTAACAGCAGAAACGGTTGAACGCTATAAATGATCTGCCTAATAACAGTTTCCTTTCTGTCATGGTACGTTTTGATTATGAAAACTCAATAAACACAGAATGTTTAAAAAAAATAAATAAATAAATTACTTGAGTAGTCACATGATGGACTCCCATTAACCTTTTCCAGTGAGATGCTGTGTTTTTCCATCAAATGTTTATGGGAGGTGTAGTCAGGCCACATATACCAACTGCAGGACCTGGGACAAAAAAACATTTGTGGGACCATGCTTAATGCACATCTTCAACTGCTCTCTTTCTTCCGGTGTTGTCCCTGCTCGACCTAAACATGCTAATGCCATAGCAATCCTAAAAAAAAAAAAAAAACATTTCTTGAACTGTCCTCCCTTTCCAAGTGTTGCCCTATATCCTTGCTTCCTTTTTCCTCACAGCTTCAAGAAAGACTTGAATAATTTGTCTCAATTCCAACTCACTCCTTGACCTTCTTCAATCTAGCTTCCAATACCCCTCACTCCACTGAGACTGCTTTGATTAAAGTTACCAATAACCTAATCACAGCTAAATCGAAAGGCCACTACTCCGTACTAATTATTTTTGACCTCTCTGCTGCCTTTCACACTGCTGATCATGTCCTTCTTCTCCACACTCTTCTATACCTCAGCCTCTGGGACACTGTCCTATCGTGGTTCTCCTAGTTTCTCTGCTATCATTCATTCAGTGTCTCCTTATCCAATGACACTTCCTCCCATCATCCTGTCTGGTTGGAGTCCCCCAAATCTCTGTTCTTGTTCCTCTTCTGTTCTCTCTGTATACTACCTCTCTTGGCAAACTCATTAATTCCTTTGGCTTCTGCTACCACCTAAACCCTGATGACATCCAGAGATAACTCTCCTCCCCTGATCTCTCTCCCACTGTTCTGCAATGTGTCACCACTTGCCTTTCTTCAATCTCTGACTGGTTGTCCGCCTGCTTTCTGAAATTTTTCTCTGAAGCTTCTTATTTTTCCTCCTCGTAATACTGATCCTCCTCTTTCTCTTGCCCTTCAAGTTGACGGTACCTGTATTAGCCCATCCCTGAAAGTTCACTGCCTTAGTGTTATCTTTGATCCTGGCCTCACCTTTGCGCCTCAAAACTAGTCTGTCGCTAAAATCTGTCGATTCCACCTTAAAAACTTTGCTTGCATCTGCTCCTTTCTTGTGCAAGGAACTTGTTCATGCTCTTGTAATTTCTTGCATGGATTACTGCAATTCTCTCCTAACTGGTCTCCCCAGAAGCTGTACTGCCCTACTACAATTTATACTACAATTTATAATGAATGCTGCCACCAGACTGATCTTTCTCTCCTGTCACTCCTCTCATACCTTGCCCTTCTCTTGAACCTTACACTGGCTTCCTGTATCCTATGGGTGTCAATTAAAAATACTTACCCTTACCTATAAAGCTCTAAACAACTTTAGCCCATATTAAATTTCTTCACTGATTCATAGATTTGCCCCTTCTCAATCTCTTCACTCTACCGGTGACCTTCTCCTGTCCGCTCCTTGCACCCTTATTGCTAACTCGCGCTTGCAGGGCTTCACGGGTGTTTACTTTCCTTTGGAACAGCCTGCCTATCCCTATCAGACTTTCCTCTAGTCTTCAATTATTTAAGAAGTCCCTCAAAACCTATCTGTTTTAAAATACTTGTAGCCTCCCAGAGCAACGTCTATGTCACCAGTCTATTCTAGAGAGCCACACTTCACTCTAACCTTCAGTTCTGTTACGCTTCCACCTTGTTTGGTTGCTGTCTCCCTTGATGCCCTTCCTATTGTGTCCTTATACTCCACTTCTCTAGACTGTAAGCTCATCTGAGCAGGGTCCTCACCTAACTATTGTTTCTGTATCATTTTGTAATTGTCTCATTTATTGTTACATTTCCCCCTT